CCGCCGCATCTCTTTGCAATTTACCTTTTTTGTTTACGATAACCCACACCGACTTTGCAGTGTTGTGACGTGCAACTTCTTCCGGGGAAAAGGTAACAGTTCTCGGAGCCCCCATCATTTTGACAACCTTGTATGCGGATGAAGCGTATCACCTTGTAGGATGGGTGCGTTCTTTGGTGTGTTGTCCGTCCGGAAAGTGCCAATGGCACGCAAGTCGTAATCCGCTGGTTTGCCAGCAAGCGCGAACGACAGTCAGCGTTTGTCAGGATGAGCCGAGGAGAATCACGTGATAGAGCAAAGGGCGCCGTTTTTTCAGTCAGGATGGAATGCATTCCATTTGTTGTCGCTGCGCCACCACATGTTCAAACTCCGACAATGACCATACAAACGATCCAAACGATCCTCTGGGTGACTATTTACCATGGGATGCAGTGGCGGTTTTGTTAGACGCCCCTGCGAATCATTACCTAGATCCACATGTCTGCCGAGCGAGGTATATTGGCGTAAATGTCAGCTATGGTGTCAGTGTCTCCAACCGGGTGTATACAAACAACTCTTATTTATATTCTCGTATTACCCGGCGTCTGTTCTTTTAACCACTTCTGTGCACTTAATAACCTGCGAGAATGTCAACGACGCCATGGCAGAAATTGCTAGTCGTAATCATGGGCTTGCTTCCCTTATTACCAGGAATTGGGGCCAGAGGTAAAGCCTTTAGAGAATAACGTGCAGAGATTGCCGCACTGACATGGTCGTCAGTGGATGTTTATGGCGGTGGGGCTAGCTTTCCCTCAAGTCTCTATGAACAGTGGATTCAATCATTTTTGAAGGAGCATGGTGAGCTACGTTGCTATCCTGGAGAGCTTGCATATAACAAAACCTGAATAACAAGTAATCATAGGGTCAGATGTTCAGATCTCCTACATTTCCAGCAGTAGTTCAGTCGGTTTGGCACAGCTTCAAGCCGGAAGTTTAGCTTTTTCGGGCTCCGATATCCCTCCGGTCACCAACGATACCAGTGTGACGTACTTTCCCGCGGTTGCCGGCGCCATTGCTCTAGCTTATCAGATACCTCAGCTGAGCGAGCCTCTCAATTTGAGTCGTCAAAACATTGCCGATATTTTTAGTGGAAAGCTGACCACATGGTCAGATCCGGCGCTTCAAGTGTTGAATCCGACGCTTGCAAATGCGTTACCATCGGCGACGACGCCTAAAATCACCCTGGTGGTCCGTCAACCTGGATCGGGAACGACGGCCAACTTTGTGAAGGCGCTGCATTCGTTTGATCCAAGCTTTCCCGGACCTATTAGCTCCAGCGTCAATTGGCATAACATCACCAATGGTACCCAGGTGTTCGTGGCGAACACGAATGAGGCTGTTGGAATGCTCGTGGCCTCAATACCATACGCAATTTCTTACATGGACCTGGTGAGCACCTAGCTATCCATGCTGTTCTTCGCAAGGTTGTTTAGGCGACTGTGCTGACCAGACGGCGCATTCATTAGAATGAGATATACAAGGCAAATAAGACTGGGGCCAACAGTATAGGGGTGGCCAACATCATCAACCGTAACGGAACTATCGTTACGGCTACTTGGCAATCGATGCAGGTAGGTTGTGACCAGCCTGCTGGTAATGAGCCATGAAACTCAGGATTATGACACCTTCAGGCTGCCATGTCAAGTAACGTGAATAGTAGCTCCACAAGCGACACTATCGACACACCCTATCCACAAGCATACCCCATCACAGTGTACACCAACTATGTTCTACGCAATAACGCGATTGGATCAGACATTCTGACTGCAAGATGGACATTGCGATACTTGTACTGGACTTTGACTCGCGGAAGTGTACGTTGTAGTTCAATGATGACTTATTGCGCCAGCAACGCTGAAGATTGACGCATTCTCTCCACGGTGCATTTCTTTAGGACATCGCCATTCAGAACAATTTCGCTCCACTCACACCAGAGATGGTCAAACGTGGTACTGACATACTCGAATTTTTAACACAAAACGACCAGATTATGTTCGGACAGACATACTGCGACTTTCCAATCGGCTCCTCAGCGGGATGCAAACACGGACACTGTTTCCTCGATTTACCTTTCCAAGATCCAGCCGCGCAATGCATTTGTGATCCCGGATTTATCAATTATCAGAAGGGCGACTGCTCCGAGGCAGCGGATGGCTATCGTCTCGCAAAGAACGATGCCTTTGGAATAATCTGCATTAGTCTCATGGCTGTCGGACTTTTAATTGTCTGTGCAGTGTGGTGCCTGACGTTTCTTGCACGGCATCGTCCTCAAATCAGAGCTATCGCCCCTAACTGCTGCTGGGTGCTTCTCATGGGCTGTCTGCTTGGCAACATTGGAATCCTTCCTTACGCGGGTATGCCAACTGATGCATCCTGTAAAATCAGGCTGTTCTTCCCGCCTGTTGCCTTTGGAGCTGCCTTTGGGTATGTACATCATTTGAAATGAATTTGGCTTATGTAGAACTTATCATCATCCTGCGCTTATTTGGCAGAATGATGATGATGAAGCTCTGGCGCATATATCTTATATTCGGGTATCAACGGAAAACCCGAATCTCCATCGCGCGCAACTCTGTCCTTATCGGCTCTACCCTTGGGATTGTCGTTGCAGAGTTGATTTTAACAGGCCTATTGGTTGCATTGGCGCCACCTTCTGTAGTCGTATCCATCGAAAACGCGACAACGGGAGCTATTTACCAGGAATGCGGCGTGGCTCCCGAGAAAAAGGGCTTATACACCGGCCTTCTTGTCCTCCTCTACTGTTTCAACGCTCTCTTGCTTTTCCTCTGCTTGTTCCTCGCTTATGCCACCCGCAAGGCGTACAATCGTTTCGGAGAAAGCAAGACCATCGGCTTTTCGATTTATATTGTAACCATATTGATGATTTTTGCAGTGCCAGCAGCCTACATTTTGCCAATGCAGACGGACACTGAACGCGGAACCCAGAGACTGCTCACTTGTCTTATAATGTTCATCATTTCGACAGGTATAAGCCTAATTCTGTTCCTCCCGCGCCTGAGAGAAGTATGGAAGGTGCGAGCGAATTCAGACAGTCAAGGTTCTCGCACGTCGGGGGCTCAGGTCGGCGGTCACCGCTTCCGCAGCGTCAGACGGAAGTCGAATCCGGAACACGTATCATCGTTCCATGTTCACGCCGTACATCCGACTGTGTGTGAAGTCGGGCTTCGGCAAGACCGCTTTGGGTACATACGTGCTTATACATTATTTTTTTTTTTTTTCCCTAAAACTGAATCGCCACTCTTTTCATAGTGCCCAATGGCAATCAGCCACACTATGCGCGCTCTGCGAACTGGACCTGCTCCTCTTCCTTGAGAGCGTTAGGAGCAGCAAAGTTCTGGTCTCCTTCAAACTCTCGGAGATAATTGTAGATGTTCTTACAACGGAGTCCGCGGCCGCTAGCGGCTCATTTTCCACGTCGAGTAACTCTGCTACCAGATTAAGTTTGAAAATGAAGGCGGACCAAACAGCGTCGCATATTGTAGAGTTTCCTTCCAAAGAGAAAATGAGGCCATTTTTAGCATTGGTGGCCCAAACCCTCAAGCCGAGGTACTCTAAAGCAACCGCCTCCATGGTGGAGAGTTCTGCGACGTAGAGTCGGTGTCGGTTTCCAAGTATGATCAACGTGGAGTCATGGAGGCATGGTATATGAAAATTATGAAATCCAACATATATATGAATAAATCATTGTGCTCTATTTCCTGGTGTATATTACCATTGTACTGCTCATACGCGCATGCCGAGCCCCTGTTGTGTTATTTGTGAATCAAAACCCAGTATACTTTCGTTTGTCGTCTGCAAGTAGAATGCGGGTTTCTGTCTCCTGAACCCCATATCTTACGGTCAACATGTCCTGATTGCTAGCTCCTAAACTCAAGCATGCTTCTCCAGGAGAACCATCTGAGCACCTGGAAGATGGTCAGGCACAATGGTTAAAATAGTCAGAACTTTGCTTTTTAAAGATCAAGTTACCAAACTGTTCAATCGATTCATCTGGAGTAATATACATTGTCAATGATATTGTTATAGTTTGCTCAGCATTATGGTGAGCGCGACATTAGCCATTGGTCATTAATGACATGCGCTGCAAATATACATTTTCCAACCCTTATATCTTCTTCGCCAATCCCCTTTCTTCCTTGCCGGGAGGGGTGAAAGCATATGCCCAATTTTCACATTCGACTAGTATTGGGGTCAATTTACACAATAGTTTTAGATGACTCGTTTGAATACTTACCCAACTGTCTCACCATTCTAATTGCACAGGTATCGGGATCCGCGCCTTCATCAGATTTTGTCGTAGTCATTTGCGCTCTCTGGTACAGCTGGTTGTCCTTGGCTCAGCAACTGTCAAATAGACATATTCGTTTTACGACGCTTACACGAAAAAAGCGCGGTAGACCGATCTCGCGCTCAATATACAGTCGGGCGAGCTCGATGCGGGTGAAGGTGGAATCCGCAGGTGATGGAGTTGGCTTCAATAGGAGAACCGGAATTCACCATAAGTGCTGAAAATGGATGGTGGCATAGTCAAAAATACTTACTATGCGCTGAGGTCCAAGCGCAGGTTTAATGGGGTTTGGTGCGTTCCCCGTAACGGTTTCTCCGCGATTTATCTCCTGGTGCGGGGCCCATTTCTGGCTACCTTCCACCGTGTTGTCCTCTGTCCACCGGGGCGTGTATCTCTGGCCCACTCTATCAGGTCCGTTCATCTTTTCACACCACTTTCCCACACAATTCATTGCTAAAATATCACGGACAGAAGGCCGTGCGTCAGGATTTGTCGTTAATAACAACGAGATGAGATTTCTCAATGCCAAACTGTACTCGTTTGCGATTGGGTCATACTTTCCAGTTAGGATTTTCGGTATCCTGCAATCTACAAGTTATACGCGATATACGGAAGTCAGAAAGGACTGCGCATACAGAGTTTTGAGCGATTTCGCAGAAAAGGCATGGCGGAGTGTCGTGAGTTCATACTAGTCCTTTGCGATCAATGTCTCTCCTCATTCGCAAACGTGTCAGAGCGTCCCTACCAGCACACATCCAACACCCCAAATATCGCTGGCAAATCCGTATCCCCGCCCTTCACAGACTTCAGGTGACAGATAAAACGGTGTACCAATGGGTGTGTAAGCTTGCTCCTGTTGTCGTAAAATTCGTGCGATCCCAAAATCCCCCAATTGGAGCACGTTGGTCCCAGTTATGAAAATGTTCTGCAACTGATGAGTAGAGCCGCTTGGATTGATATTGGATAGCATGAGGATACCTTTGTTTTGATATCCCTATGAAGAACGTTATGAGAATGGAGATGCGAGAGTGCTAGGAAGATGTGGGCTGCCCTAGGGACAGTGCCATGCTGGCTATCAGATCATGATATGACGAAGAAAAGGATTATCGCCCCACCATTGCCAAATAAGACATTCAGGAATGGGAGACCCATTCCGGGCCTTGATGAACTTAGCCAGATCTCCACCAGCTATTTGCAATGTGAGAATCGGACCACCGACTCAGACACCTGTGCTAGAGATTGCCAAACGCTTGATGGACACACCGGCATATTCACAAACAATCCACAACGACTGTTTGTCGATCCAAGCTTCCCGAAACTCAACCACATTAGGGTGTTTAGGCAATTTTTGCAAAATCAAGGCTACCAATCTATTAATCCTTGCGGATGATGACCGATCTTTCGCAGAGATGCATACCATACCTTCAAGTTCAACTGATTTTCTGTCTTCCACATTCAAGCCCTCCAACGAGACTTGTTTGATGCAAACCGGACGAGTTGAGTTAGATGGTAACGCTAGACGAACATGGCCTGAGGAGCCGATGCCAAGAGTGCGGACAACTGTATAGCGGGGCATCCGTTACTATCTATCAATCCTTAGATTCGGAAATGGAGAAGTTTAATATGAGGTCGTCTGGCAGACCTTCTGGGTGCTAACTTCATCACTTGCCTTCACCCCAGCTGTCATCAGTGAGAAACTCTACGGGTCGTCCATCTGAGAGCGCACGTTCCTTTGAAGGTTTCACTCCAACGCGTCTGTCATCTGAATCGATCTGAACCAATACCGCATAAACAGGATTCAGCCGCAGCGTCTGGTCGCAATCAGGCTGGATAATACTCGGTCGGCTTTCAACATGAGACATCTTACTAGTAAATAAGACATGGAAATAGTAACGTATGGTATAGATTCTCTTGCCTGATTGCGGTAATAACAGTCCCAGATAGTATAATGGTTAGTATCTCCCCCTGTCAATCGGCAGTACGGGGAAGATCGGGGTTCGATTCCCCGTCTGGGAGCTTAAAAAAAGGGTGAGTACTATTTTTTCTCTAAATCCCCCCGGTCTTGCTCCAGTGTCAGCCTTTAGGTCGCTCAGCCCTAATCCTTATACGATTTCGGGAAAGCAAGCAACTGCAAATATCTGGCTATAGGCAGCACATTGTCCCTTGCCTGTGAAACCAGAAATAGTGTAGCTTAAGGTCTGATATTTAGGCAGATTGGTATCGACTAACCTGCGAGCAATTTCCTCAATGGCTATGACACCCAATTAAGCAAATCAGAGCTTAGATCTGAGGTGGTATTTGCACAACGGCATCTCATTGTCATGATTTGTTTACACCGTGTTGGTGGAGGATAACGCGACTTTTACGATCCAGTGGTAGCTTAGTTCTCTTTTCCGGACTGGTTGTCGTTTGGTTTCACCCATGCTAGTGTACGTCCCATTTTCCCTCTGCCTGTTTGCAGCGGACTCATGTGCAGCACTATATTCTGTTTCGTTTCTTATTGTGAAACAATAAGGGATTCGATCGATATAGATCCCAGATAGTATAATGGTTAGTATCTCCCCCTGTCAGTTGACAGCACGGGGAAGATCGGGGTTCGATTCCCCGTCTGGGAGTTACTGTGCTGGTTTAGTATCTTTTTTTTTTTTTTTTTTTTTTTTTTTCAGCTGCGAACGCATCATCCAGCCTGCAGTTGTCCAATCTCAGTTCTTTTTGAAGTGGCTATCTTAACGACAATCTGAATGTCCATCCAACGTGAAATTGACTAGAAGGAAAGCTACCATTTTAATAGCGTCGTGTTGTCATGCTAGTAGAGTGCCCGTTTCTTCCTTGCTTTGGGTCCAAGTCATGTTCGTATCTATCCAGCTCATGTATTCTCATTTGTATCAAGAAAGCCGAGGTAGTGGCCATCTCACCTTTCCACAATGCCGTGTGCAAAGCGAAAACCCAAGGATTCGATCGGGCGTGCTTATTCATCACAGCACCAGCCACGTAATCGCGTGTCATCCTGCCACCGTTCTAGTGTTCACCATCTCGTGCACCCATCTTTCCCATTGCAACACCATCTACACGGTTTTCTCTTTCCTGTAGGTCCCTCACTGGTCTTCACAAATTATGACTGTAAGTAACGTCCAGAGCTCGCTGTTCATAAATACGGCAGCCCGTTCGCGAGCCTTTGTTTCCTGGTTCACCAGCAGATTGTTTTTCAGCAACAGTATCGCATAGAGCATGATACCTTTGGAGAGATAAAGGTCCCCGCCAACAAGTACTGGGGTAAGGAAATTTCGTGATTCGGTCCTTGGTTTAAACTGATACCATTCATCACGTTTAAAGGAGCACAAACTGAACGGTCTCTCCAAAACTTTGAGATTGGAGGCCCTGGTGACCGCATGCCCCTCGAAGTGATTCAGGCGCTGGGTATCGTCAAAAAGGCTGCAGCAATTGTGAATGTTACTTATGGGTTAGATAAGAAACTTGGTGATGCGATTATCAAAGCTGCGGATGAGGTGCGTGTAATGCCATATTGTGGTATTCGGAATTGAGACGGTTTGTTTATTGCTTTGTATTTAAAAGGTTATTGATGGTAAATTGAATGACGAGTTTCCTCTCGTCGTTTGGCAAACGGGGTCAGGAACTCAAACGAATATGAACGTGAATGAGGTGATTGCCAACCGTGCAAATGAAATTCTGGGACAGCCTCTTGGAGCACAAAAGCCAGTTCATCCGAATGATACCGTTAATATGAGTCAATCCTCGAATGACACGTACGTTTGTTTGTCGATTGCTGATCTGAGGTGTCAATGTTTCTCATTAACGAGTCGATAGATTTCCTACAGCAATGTACGTTGCAGCCACACTAGCGCTTTATAAGCTCCTTCTGCCTGCCTTGCGCCGTCTTCATACTGCACTGGATGCACACGCCAAAGGGTGGTCAAATATTATAAAAATTGGTCGAACCCACACTCAAGACGCAACACCACTTACCCTCGGCCAAGAGTTCTCTGGATACGCCCAGCAAATTGCTTATGGGATCGAACGAGTTAAAGCCGGGATTCCTAGATTGAGCTTGTTGGCACAGGGAGGTACGGCAGTGGGAACGGGACTGAACACGAGAGCTGGTTTTGATACCAAGGTTGCTGCGGAGATCTCGAGAATTACTGGCGTGGAGTTTAAAACTGCTCCTAACAAGGTTAGTGGGGACGGCATTCTTGTACGAAATATGCGCGCGCTAATCATTTTTAACCAGTTTGAGGCCCTTGCTGCTCACGACGCCATTGTGGAAGCCAGTGGAGCTTTGAATGTCCTTGCCGTTTCCTTGATGAAAATTGGTAATGATATTCGGTTCCTGGGTTCTGGACCCAGATGTGGACTGGGTGAACTCAGCCTACCGGAGAATGAGCCTGGGTCATCTATCATGCCTGGCAAGGTACTCTTCTTCTGTGACCATTGTCGTCTTTGCTGCGTGTAACAGCGTTGCTCTAGGTCAACCCAACCCAATGCGAAGCCCTCACAATGGTTTGTGCGCAAGTAATGGGCAATCACGTCGCGATCAGTATTGGAGGATCAAATGGCCACTTTGAGGTACGATGATTCAGATTGCTACCAGATGAGCAAGGACTCATCAACAGTGACGTCCTATAGTTGAATGTCTTCAAACCCCTCCTCATTCGGAATTTTATTCACTCGACCACCCTTCTTGCAAATGCTTGCGACTCGTTCAACAAAAACTGTGTGCAAGGAATCAAACCCAATCTGGATCGTATTAAAACTTTGATGAACGAAAGCTTGATGTTGGTTACGGCCTTGAATCCAAAGATTGGATATGAGAGTATGTTATGATGTTATCCTTATTGCCAGTCAAGTTTATTGTAACTTTTTCCTTTATGATAGATGCAGCCAAGGTCGCCAAACTGGCCCATAAAGACGGGTCTACACTCAAAGAGGCTGCGGTTAAGCTCAAACTGTTGACACCTGAACAATTTGATGAGTGGGTGAGACCTGAGCAGATGCTTGGGCCGCGTCTGTAAATAGTGTACTGTCCGCGCTGGATAGAGGAGATGTATTGATAGCACTGTAGCTAGGGATAGCAATTGACTATACATGTCCCTGCTGACTAGCAGACGCAGTGAAATCAAGCAAGATTCATGACTACCGACTTGACCTCTGTAATATTCGGGATGTATTGGTTTCTAAGCGTGGGTACAAAAAGAACGATTGTAACTTACGAGTATATTCTCGTAATCCATACTCTCCAAGTTCCCGCCCAATTCCAGATTGTTTGAATCCGCCAAACGGTAATTGCGGCAGGGTCACTACACGAGGTTGGCGATATCACATGAGCATTCATACGATGCGGGAGCGAGCAAAATGGAAACGACGCACAATTATAACAATTGACCCACACGTTTCCCGCCTTCATCCCTTTCTCCATCCTCACCGCCCGTCTTAAATCATTCGTGTGAACAGCAGCCGCCAAGCCGTAACTTGTTGCATTGGCCTTTTTCAGAACCTCTTCCTCAGTCTCAAATTTTACAACACAGGCAACTGGTCCAAAGATTTCCTCTTGGTAGATTCGCATGCTATCAGTAACGTCAGTGAATAGAGCAGGCTCGAGAAAGAAGCCTTTGGTGCCTTGTCGTTTTCCACCATAGGCTAATGTGGCTCCCTCTTTGACGCCGATGGATATATAGGAGCTGACAGAGTTGAATTGCTGAGCATCAACAAGCGGTCCCATAGTTGCTGTGGGATCGCGAGGATGGCCGAGCTTTGCCTGAGACATCTTTGGAGAAGGCCATGCTTTACAACGCGGTCATGATTCATCACTGACAGGTGCATAACACACCTTTTGCCTGAACTTTTCAACAAAAAGATCGTAAATCCCTGCTTGCACAAATACTCTGGAACCAGCACAGCAATTTTGTCCCATGTTCTCAAAGATGCCTCCAAAGCATGCTTCAACCGCTTGATCCAGGTCCGCATCATCAAAGACAATATTTGGGCTTTTGCCTCCCAACTCCAAGGTCACTTTTTTCAAATTGCTTTCTGCGGCCATGATCATAATCTTTCTTCCGACGGCTGTTGAGCCTGTAAAGGCAATCTTGGCAATGTCGCGGTGTCGCGCGATGGCTTCACCACAAGGAGTACCGAACCCAGACAGGATGTTGACGACACCTGGAGGGAATCCGGCTTTTGCAATGAGTTCGGCGACTTTGAGGCCACTGAGGGGCGTTTTTTCAGAAGTCTAGATGTGATTGCTACAGCCCCATGATCGAAACTAACGTGGAAAATCAGCGATTGCTTGTACCTTCATGACAATAGTATTTCCACATGCCAAGGCTGGGGCAAGCTTCCACGCCTGCATCATGAGAGGGTAATTCCATGGTATGATTTGTCCGACGACACCGAGAGGCTCGACTCGTGTATATGTATGCAGCTTTGGGTCAATGTCCAAGGTCTGTCCAGCAATCTTATCTGTCCAGCCAGCGTAGTAACGGTATACTTCGACGACACCTTGGACGTCTCCGATGGCATCCTTTACTGTTTTGCCATTATCCAAAGATTCAAGTTCGGCGAGTTCGGTGCTGTTTTGTTCAATCAAATCTGCGAGTTTCAAAAGGCACTTGCCCCTTTCTGCCGCAGGTATACTGACCATTCACGTCGTTATTTTCACATAAATATGGCGACACTGTCAAAATCGGTTACAATGTACCTCTGCCATGTTGCTAGAGCCTTTTGTGCAGCTGTCACAGCAATGTCCACGTCTTCCTTTCCAGCTTGAAAGACTTGAGTGATGACGTCCCCTGTAGACCTTGGGTGTTTCAACATGCCAATTTAGCATCACTTGCCACCCTGTAGCAGAAATGCCATGGCATGCTCTCGTTTACCATAGACTCACGGGTCAATTGTGTCAAACTTGCTTCCCGTCACAGAGGGAATAAATGCATTATTGATGAATAGGCCCGTCGGCAACGACCAACTCTTGGCACCAGACTCGACATGAACGTGGGTTGAAAAGGCCATGACGCAGCGACGTGCACAGAGTCCGTGTCCCAAAGAGCGTGAAGCGGTGACGATGCTCCAATGCCAAAATGCCATGCTCTAATGCAGAATCTGTGGCAGTGCCCTCGCAGTCAAACCGCAAAGTGTGCGCGTCATCATTTAAAGTGTGATCTCACCAAAAGCCCTTTATAAAATAAAATAAATGGCAATTTTCTTTTGATTGCAGACCGTTTTTTTTTTGTGTTTGTTTTCTGTTCGGGCGGTGTTTGAAAAATGTTTTCATTTCTTTCTTCAACTTGGAGTTGGGTTGCAGTAGGCCCACAAGAAGAAGAGTCTTCTTGTTCGTCAAATTCCATATCATCAGACTCCTTGTCAGACGACAGCAGCACAGCGTCAACAACGACAGACAGCGACGGAGACGAAGCTTACTCGTCGTCCCTAGAATCGCTCTCATCATTGGACAACCAAGACCTCGTAGATCACATCGTTGATCAAGGACAAGAATATCAAATCCCCCAACCTCCCGCACGCTCGCACTTACAGGCCATGAACACTCTCTTCCTGTCGGACGCGCTCAACAGCAAAGTCAATGCTCTTCGGCACGATGGTACCACGAACCATATGTTAGGGTTAATGATTGTTTTTATCTTAATTCTGTTCTTTTTTTGATTCAAATAGTCCTTCGAGCTCGACTCTGCGAGCTTGTCTTGACGGTCGAGTTTGCCTCGTCATATGGTGCAAACGCTCGGACGCTCACCGTTGCCCCAATACCCGCCGTGCTGCACCTAAACCTAGTGACACCAAGCGTCCCAAGTGACTTTCCGGGCCCTGGGGTCTTACCGCCCCTGACACGAGCTCTCTACGTACGCCTATTCCGCGACTTGCCACTTTTTGCCGGACATGGCGCAAAGTACCTGGCTGGTCTGGATGACTTTATGGAACATGAATTTCTGGACTTTGTTGGAAAATGGATGAGGGCAACAAAGTTTGATGTGCTGGTACGTTCTAGGAAGGATCTATGCACACTGCAACACTAGGCTCACTGTAAGGGTATTTCACAATGGGTAGAGCTTTTCGTTGTATTATGTGACTCTATTCAGCCATCTCAAGAATGAAGCTTGGTATGGAGTTGACGACAACGCTGCCCCATTGCCCACTTTCTCCACTCGGCCGATCCTACGTCCTGCCACCCTATACCCGGACCTTCTCTGCTATTATCGCGCTTCCCTTCCTGGTGGTGGGAGCTTCCGCCTGTCCAAACGCGAACGCAAGACTCCAGACACTGATGAGACCCTCGAATTGCGAGAGCTCAAAGCAAGAGGATTCACTGATGCGTGGCGGAGCGTATTAAAAGCTGGTTGTGGCATATGTCGGGAACTCATCGGCGATGACAGCGAAGCTGAAGTGGATCTTGCCGAGAGATTTTGGGATGTGGTTAAAAGCTCTCCCGAGATTATGGATCTGCCACCGACTTTTCAAGACTTTTTCTATTCAATTATTACTGCCGTAGCGCATGCGATTGACAATATCTTGGTAGGGCTGATCCATTGTATGTCCAGATGCGATGATAGTTAACATGTGACATACAGGACGACGCAGAATGGAGACACAAGTTTGCTAGTATCTGGAAGCGGCTGCCGGTTTCGATCATGCTTACGTCGCTGCGGCTAGTCAATCCGTACGTATGCATGGTGACAATTCTGCTGTCGCACAGGCTAATGCCTACTTTGGTCCTATAGTGTTCCATTCGTGGATCGTGTGATAAAGCTATTCTGCTGGAAGCCTCCAGGGATGTATTCGTTGCTGCAAAAGATTGGGGCAATGATCTGTGCTCTCGATCGGACGCAAGCTGCTCTTCGAATCATTGCCAAGAATGTGCAGCAATCACGAAGATGTGCCATAGAACGCACTATTGACGCAGCATTCGAGCAGTGGCGGCAGAGCTGTGTGTACGACATCTCCTCTCAGGATCCCGCAGAAAAAATTCGTGACTTTTTACGCAACAGCGACGAGAAAACATTCCAGACTACGATCAGCAAATCCGAAGTCGCATTTGCGAAATGCTACATCCGAAAAAAGGAAAAGGAGGATTTTGTCGAGGTACTGGGAAGCAAAGATGTGGTGGATTTTGTTAAACATTTTTGCGAAATGGTGCCCCCATTGTTGGATGAAGTTTGGAAGTGTATAGACATTGCCACTCTCATGTCTAAGCTCGTCGATACTGTTTCGCAAATTCTCGAAGGGATGACGGCTTACGACTCACCCACTGAATCTCTCGCGAAAACCCACAGTCAAGTCATTGGAGCCTTGTACAGCGCCTTGCTTCCCTTTTTCAAAGCCGCATATCCGCTACTTCCCGCGGTAGCAAAGCGACCACCCGCAGGGCCAGCTGGTATTCACGCACTGGTCGAGCACCTTCTCTATGACGTGATGCGTCCGCGGAATACCCGCGGGTCTATCTTGGAACTGGGAAAGGACGCGCGGGTCGTGGTGGACTCGCTCACGCCTACTGAAAAGGCGCGTCTATGGAAGGAAGTGGATGGAATTATCGCTAATATGGAAGCTGGTATAGATGCAAGAGAGTGGGAGCCGTGTGAGGTACTGGAAGGGAAGGGATTACAGGTCTTTTGGGACGAAATCGTGAGGGAATTCACAGGAAGTGTGAAAGAGGAGGCTGTTGTAGAACAGGGGGTACTAGGTGTGGATTAGGGTTACCAGGTTGAACATGTGTATTTATCCTTATTATTTACTGTAGCGGCCGGCATGTATAGCATGCATAGCTTTTGTAGAAAATATTATTTATACCCAACAATATGATAGTTTGAGTGCGAGTATGAGTGCGACGCTAGCTGTGTTATCGCTTACTAAGAAGTTGTTGACATGCCAACCGATCACCATCCTTTGACCTCAGCGCTGGTCTTCCTGAGCTCATCTGCAGAGCAAAATGCGGCTATTATCCTCGACCATCCGCGCATGCAGACTTAGAAAACCCGTTCCCAGCATTACCGTGTGTCCAAATGCATCGTCGAATGGCACTATACTACGGCTAGCAGTACACAATGGGAGCAACCGATGCAAAGTTACGGACGCAGCGACAAGGCTTGGTCTTATTGGACAGCCTACACCGGAGACACATCCGCATTTAATGAAGAGTGGAGAGGGTGGGTTTTAATGCGAGATATAGGAATGGCCAGGAGTCAAATGTAGCTGAAGGCGTCGACGGACTAGTCGGGTTCTCGTTTCGGCTGGGATGAAAAATAAGTGCGACGAGAGTTGCGTTCCTGGCCCGGCAGCGGGATCTTGTCACATAGATGATCCCACATGGATTCTTTGCTCTATGAGATTGCGAGCTGCAGGCTGGTATAAACCACAATTTGTCCACCACATCCGACGATATTTCTTGTCATTATACCCAAGTGCTTCACGCTTCAGCTACGTCGTCACCTGAACCACCTGTCTCCAAACTCCATGAGTCATCATGTTACCAACTTTCTTTTTGAATCCCAATACTTTGTCTTGGTAGTCACCCCGGGCCTCTCGCGGGAGGAATACCAATCTCGAAGATCTCGACTGATGTCGCAGTTGTCCGAAGGAAGCGTGGTGATTGTTCCTGGGTATGGATTGCGATATGCCACGAATGGAATATTGTAAGCACATGCATTTTTCTTATTGAAATGGCTATCACTTGGTGCTAATGACGCTGCGTAGTTACCCATTCCATCAACAGACAAATCTTCTCTATCTATGTGGAGTTGATGAACCCGATTGTGCGCTGGTGCTAGGTATGAAATGACATGTTCTTGCGGATATACCCACTCGATCTGAAACTGGTGGTCAGTACGATCAAAGGCATCTGAGAATGGGTACAAGATGATTCTATTTGTGCGGCCCCAAGATAAGAAACGGGAAATATGGGATGGCCCAAAGATTGGTTTCGAGGGTGCTGCTCAGTTCTTTGGCGCAGATGAGGTGCGGATTTCGTTATTACGTGAACTGCCGGCAATTTACTCACAGCGATATATGTAGACGCAATCCATTGATGCGCTACCTCGCTACATTGAAGCAATCCTCTCCTCACCTACGGGTCCCATATATACCGACCTCGCCTTATCATCTCCCCCAGCAACACCGCTGGATGAGACATATATCCGACACGGGTCATCCAGCAAACTACACGCTAGCAACGCGTCAGCAATCGACACAAGTATCACACCCATCCTTAAAAACCTCACACTAACGAAAGGTCGACGGGGTCGATCGCCAGTAGTACAGAAGCTCACGCCGCTAATATCCGAACTCCGACTGGTCAAATCACCGGCGGAACAGGAATTGATGAGGAAAGCTGGACGAATAGCTGGTCGGGGCTTTGTGGATATGATGGGAGAGACGAAACCGGGCATCGGGGAGCACGACTTGGGGGCTGTTATGGAATATTCTTGTAAGCGACAGGGTGCTAAGGGCTTGGGGTATGTTCCAGTGGTTGCGGGTGGCGAGAATGCCTTGGTTATTCATTATGTTGTGAATAATCAATTATTGAGGTAAGGCATGTGCGCTTCCAAGAAAGCGTCATTGTCATCTCATGCGGGATTTTGTGCTTAGCGACGGGACATTAGTTTTGGTGGACGCTGGGGCGGTAAGTTGAAACGAGCTTTGCTACGCGTATAATCTGACTTGCCTAACCCGCTATGTTATTACTTTAGGAATACGCTGGGTATGCAAGTGACATTACCCGCACATGGCCGGTAAATGGGAAGTTCACAACCCAGCAACGTCAGCTCTACGAGGCAGTTTTGAGAGTTCAGCAAGATTGCATAAAGGTATCCACCGTTTTCATGTTTAGGGTCCTTTAGCAACTGGATGATAAATTCCTTGTCGACATTAGAGATGCACTGGTGACAACGATGTTACTCTTGATAGCATACAGAATGACGCCTTTGAGATGCTTCGAGAAGAGTGCTCAGCGTTGTTTGGTAGAAATATTGGGAGACGAGTGAGTGAATTCAGCTTTTTGTAATGTCTGGGTGAACCCCTATTGACAAAGAATCGTGTCCACTTTAGGAAATGTCCCAGCTGTACCCACATCACGTTGGTCATTGGTTGGGCATGGATATCCACGATACAGAGAACATTCCACGCACCCGAAAGCTTGAGGCCGGGATGGTCATTACTATAGGTGTGTATTCGACTTTTCCAGTAGTTCAAAGATTCAGTTCTAACTTAAAAGCAGAACCAGGACTTTATATCCCTCATTCAGATGCGTACCCTGAAGGATTTCGTGGGGTTGGGATACGCATTGAGGATGATATTGTGGTTGGGAGTAAGGAAACAGGCTTTGCGCCTGTTGTGTTGAGTGCTGAGGCGCCAAAGGAGGTTATAGACGTTGAAGCGGTGGTTGGTGGGTTAGTTGGCAGAAGAAAGTAGGTGATCATGGTTAGAAAGTCGATCACGTAAGCAAGAGGATAGATATCTCCGCGTGTTTTTAGGATCAAGTACCCTCAAGCACCAACCAGAGCGGGTCATGGCTGACGTACTGGCTATGGTCTATATTCCATTTGGATTAGGATTTGTTGTCCAGCTCAAAGATGGGCAAACGAAAGACGTCTCCATCGACCATAGCACCAAATGGAGATGCAACCCAAAAAGTCTTCATCAATGTTCCTGTGCCAGCACGCATGTTCAGTCATCATGGTAAGCCGTTACAAAAGTTTCCGTCCAATGCCATATCGACGAGCAAGTATACGGCTTGGAATTTTCTGCCCAAGAACCTTTTTGAACAGTTCCGGTAAATATTCCACAATCCCCTTGCACGATATTAACATGTATACCCGAAACGAAAGATCTGACGTTACCTATTCCAAAAGCCGTGTAGCGAATCTCTATTTCCTCCTCTTGACGATCCTGCAGTTCTTTCCCGCCTATTCAACAATTAATCCCTTCGTTTCCGCTCTACCACTAATCGTCATTGTGGGCCTAACAGCCGTTAAAGACGGGGTAGAAGACTGGCGGCGACATCAAAGTGACAGAGAGATGAACGGAACCATGACGTGGAAGTGCGGAGGATGGACAAATGTGAATCAAGTATTTTGTGAGAAAGAGTGGGCGCTTCCTTGGGTTAGCATGAAGGAAAAGAGATCCAAAGGTGATCGAAGGATTGCTCCTATCCAAGAAGACGACACAAAAGCCGCCGATCCCCCGAAATGGGTTCCAACGCCTTGGTCAGACGTCAAGACAGGAGACATTATCCTCTTGCACAGCAACGATTCCATCCCCGCCGACTTGTTGATTCTCTCCACTTCGGAACCGTCGTCCCTCTGCTACATCGAGACCAAAAATCTAGATGGTGAAACGAACCTCAAAATCCGAAAAGGCGTGACGGAAACCGAGTGGATGACGGAAGCCGGTGTTGCGGAAGATGTGGGGAGTATCAGTGGATGGGTAGAATATGAGCGACCGAATGGGGATCTGTACTCGTTTCTGGGGACGATGATCTTGAATAAAGTTGGGGAAACGGGCAAGAATGGTTTGGAACCTCCATTGATTTTTCGTATTTTTGGCAAGAATATCATTTTTGAACCCTATAGTGCTACCCGTTTAGTGTCCATCCGCATCCCGCTTACTATCACCACTCTTCTATTACGTGGTTGTATCTTACGGAATACGGAATGGGTGATTGGTCTTGTCATCAATACAGGAAATAACACGAAGATCCGGATGAACGCGGGCAAAACGCCTTCCAAGCGCTCTAAAACCGAAAAGAGAATGAACGTTCAAGTGTAGGTTCATGAAAGCAGAATGGGTCCCCGTCCTTATCGGAGACTAACGGCAAAATGCATAGGTTTATCAATCTTCTTTTACTGTTTGCCATTTGCTTCGCGACATGCATTGCCAATCCGATCTGGGAACGACGTAGAACTGCTGGCAGCCCTATGTGGTTAGACTGGACTTACAAGAGTGGAGGGATGAATGTGGGTGCGGCGGGATTAGATGCCTTTTGGTAAATTTTGTTTCAACAATTTGAGATTGAGTCTTTGCTGTCACTTTCTGATTTTGTTTTTGCCGGCATTTAGGATGAGTCTGATCATCTACCAAAATGTCGTTCCACTTTCGTTATATATTACTTTGGAAATCGTCAAGACGATTCAGGTATGTTTCTCATGCTGATCCTAGCATTGGCAAAAAGATCGTATTCACACTGCTTACCCCTAGGCGTATTTTATATACGAAGACATTGAAATGTACCACGCGCCAAATGACCAACGCTGCATTCCGCGAAGCTGGGCGATAGCCGATGATCTAGGACAAATTGATTACGTCTTCTCCGACAAAACGGGAACGTTGACACGGAATGTAATGGAGTTTAAAAAGTTTTCTGTGGCCGGCATTGTGTATGGGAATGGAGGCGACGATCTAGAGACGAGTCAAACAGTGGTGAACGCCAAAGAAATCAAGCCGGAGAGACCAAGCTTTTGGGATTTGGAATTGGAAAAAAGACTTTCTGACCCCGCACATCCTGACTATCATTCTCTGGCGACGCTCTTCACCTCATTAGCGGTCTGCCACACAGTCCTGATATCCAAGGACCCCAAAACAGGGAAAATAACCTACAATGCTCAATCACCGGACGAATCCGCTCTAGTGGACGGCGCCAAGTCTGCAGGCTTTATCTTTTCATCCCGCGAAAATACAACCATATCTGTTGACGTCCGAGGAGTGCGAAATACCTACGAGTTGTTGAATGTACTGGAATTTAACTCGAATCGAAAGAGGATGAGCGTTGTTGTTCGAGAGTCGGTGGACGGCGGGGAGTCACGAGTGGTTTTGTATTGTAAAGGTGCAGACTCGGTTATTTGGGAACGCTTGAGAAGCGGGCAGGAGCAAGTGAAGGAGGTTACTGGACAGCATCTAGAGAACTTTGCTGAGGAAGGTATACTATCTCGATCCTTCCGATTATATCTGTGTCCATCATCTTGCTTATTACTGGCAATCAATCCACCATAGGACTTCGCACCCTCTGCATAGCCCAGCGAGTTCTTCCAGAAGAAATGTACAAGAGTTGGTCCAAGACGTATCACGACGCGAGTACATCCCTCACCGACCGCGAAGCTCGCATGGACGCTGCAGCCGAGCTCATTGAATGCGACTTGGAGTTGTTGGGTGCAACGGCTATTGAAGATAAACTTCAGGAAGGTGTGCCAGAATGTATTGCCATGCTTTTGGATGCCGGTGTCAAGGTGTGGGTTTTGACTGGTAAGCAAGCTTTTGTTAGTTTGTTTTGGTTCAATGACCCAAAGGCATCGTGATCTGACTTTTTTTTTTGTGTGATAGGGGACAAAATGGAAACAGCAATCAATATTGGCTTTTCGTGCAATTTGTTGATGAGGGATATGGCACTCATTGTTGTACGAGCGGATATAGCTGACGGTCCAGCAGGTGGAGCAGGAGTTTTAACACAAATGAAACGAGCTCTCGAGACGTTCTTTGGTGAAACTCAAGCGGAAAGGAACATTGTGCCCGTGTCAACTGGAAAAGATCCGCAAGCAGCCTTGGAAGACGGGATGTTGACCTCCACAAACCCGCCAACATCTCCATCGGAAAATCCAATACAAACCACACATGCTCTCATCATTGATGGTCAAGCGCTTCAAACCGCTCTTCAACCACAAAACCGTTCTACACTTTTAAAACTCTCAACGCACTGCACTTCGGTGATTTGTTGCCGTGTATCTCCACTCCAAAAAGCGCAAATCGTCACTCTCATCAAAGAAACTGGCGCAATGTGTTTATCCATTGGTGACGGTGCGAACGATGTCAGTATGATCCAGGCTGCCCATATCGGTGTTGGAATTGCCGGACAGGAAGGATTACAGGCTGCCATGGCGTCTGATTATGCGATTGCACAGTTTAGATTCTTGGAGCGGTTGATGTTGGTTCATGGTCGGTGGAGTTTTGGAAGGATTTGCGAGATGATTTTGTGTTTCTTTGTAAAGAATGTGGTTTGGGTGTAAGTTTCTGCGATGCTGTCATTTTTGCATGTTTCTCAAGTTTTTAACATGTTCTGTTCTTTCCCGTCTAGGATGGTTCTCTTTTGGTATCAATTCTACGCCGGCTTTTCTGCCCAGTCGGTCTACGACTTTACCTACACTCTTCTTTACAACATTGTCTTTACCGGACTCCCCGTCATTATGATTGGAGTATTCGATCAAGACCTCTCACCCCGCTCTATTCTCAGTCATCCGGCCGTCTACCACAGCGGAACAAAGTGGGGATTCAGTATGGGGAGATTCGCGGCATACATGCTTGACTCTGTTTATCAGTCTCTGGTTATTTTTTATTTCGCTTGGGCTGTCGTGAGAGAAGGAGGGTCGATGTGGGGGAATGGGCAAGTCCCAGGTTTGGATTTTCTCGGCTGCACAACAGCGATATGTGGTGTGGTGAACGCAAACTTGGTCGTCATCCTATCAACCAACTCCTTCACGTGGATGAATGCCATTTTCTATACTTTGAGCGAGATCATCGTAGTACTGTGGACAGTGCTGTACTCGTTTTTCCCTGGGTCGACTTTGTGGGGTGTCGTTAATGAACTCTTTACGACACCTGTTTTCTGGCTAGTTGTCTTGTTGACTACGATTTGCTGCCAGCTTCCCAAACTTGCGTTGCGGTTCGGCAAGCGAATGATTAGACCTAGTAATGCGGAGGTGGTGCAGGAGATCCAAAAGGTTGAGAATCAAGTTGGACCATCTTGGAAAGTGCGGCAAGAGGAACCCTGCGAACAGGGAGAAACGACTCTACCACCAGCACAAGAGTCAATGCAACAGCAGAGTACGAGTGCAGAGCCAGGGTCTCCCACCCGACCCTCCCAGACGCAATCATCACTTGCACGCCCTTCCATCCTCATTTCGGAGCATACACCATCGTCCTACCACGCGAACATCGGAACTTCACCCAAGGACTCTCCAACACTCAGCGTGATGCAAACAGGCAAAACCCTTCGTAACAGGGGGTACTCCTTCTCGCAGTCCCCTGGGGCACTTGAACTACTGGCGGCACACTCCGGTGTCGAATTAGACGCGACTGCCGCCAGTTTGGGCCGAGTTTTCAAAAGCGAGGCACGATTGATTCATAAGGAAGGCAATGGCGCCGCCCTGATTGTGAGGACCAAGACAGCGCCAGGGAGGCTCAAAGCGGGAAAGGAGGGCGAGAAGAGGAGAGGGGAACTTCCTTGGAATGGGACAAAGATGGAGGGAGATGAATTGAATGGAATTGACAATCAAGTATGACGAAGCTTTTTGTTATCGCAGCAACCCGATCGGATCATAAACACCATTTTCCTTGCTCCTCACATATCAAACATATATCCGCCTTGAGCGAAATCCAAAAGTAACCGAAAAAACAAAGGCAAACTACCCAAAGATAATTCATAAATTCAAAACTGTATTTACTGTATAAATGTCCACTGATCATTTTTGTCAAGCTGTTTGCTCTTTTTTTCACTATCTACATTTTCGTATTTTTTCCTCCACAAACTTCTTTACAAACAGTTGAACACTTTCTAAGGTTTCTCTCACAAACAACACACAACAACAAAAAAAAATGTACAGTTCCAAGATAATGTACAGAATAAAGAAAATACAGTATTGGATACTCTTTCAAGATCCAAAAACGATCTGCATCACTTTTTTCTTTTGGGCGTTGTCCAATTTTTTTTTTGTTGTTTATCCCGCATTTTCTGTTTCTGTATTTCTATGTTGGTTATCCACATAAGTTAAAAACATGTCCTTCCATTCCTCCTTTTTCTGAAGGGGGGGGGGGGGGTATCACCCTTGTTTATTTTCTGCTCATGCTCTCCGATCAGTGTAAAGGTTCCGCACAGTAGGAGGTTGGTACGGCGTGGGTGTCATAATCGTTTGGGGCATAAAGGAAGGACGGTAAGGCATTAAGCGGGCAAGCGGGGGCGACACTGGGCTCCGCCATGCTGTTGGGTATGGCAGCGGAGCCATCTCGGAGCATTGGCAGCATGTATCTTGAGATGGGTACATTGTCCGACAGGGGTATATAGGAGCTGACGACGGGGCGGACCAATGGTATGGGGATAGGGTTGTTGTTGGGAAGCTTGGAGGTTCAATGATCGGGGGAGCGGAGTGGGGTTTTGAAGTAGTGGTTGGGGCGGTAATGGGCAGGGCTGCCACGGTATCTGTCGTTGCGACGGGTGATAGAGTCGTTTTGACACTTGACATGTTTTCTTCTGTTTGGCTGGGACTTGTATCCCTTAGACTCTCGGGCGTTCGACCGGGTGAGTACCTATTGGGCTCGTACGTGGTGGCCTCTGGAAACGAAGACGGGTCCATATCGTATCGTTCCGTCAGGTTTTCAATTTCATTTTGACTTAATTTTGGGAGACTGTCGTCGTTGTGGACTCCACGGGGTAGCAGGTCGACAGGACTTGGAATGTAAAAAGGTTCGGCCACTGGTGTTGGTTCCCTCATGATGAGTGGAGAGGACTTTACGAGTGGTGTAGATTCAGATGTGTGAGCTTCGGGCCTTCCCATCTGCGGAGGGTGGGAGCGAACCGGCTCTGTTTGCTGATAAGATCTTCAGCGACTGGGCTGATCTCGCTCTTTCTTTTGCGTTTGTGTGCCTTTTGTACTTTTTCGACTTCTAACAAAGAGGTGGAAATGATGAGCAAATTATATCCAAGAGCATGATAATTCGAAAGGCTGTATGCCTACCAGGATAGGGAATGGCATGCATATAATCCTGCACAGTGGTAACATTATGTCCATGCATTTGCATTGACTCCTTGAATCCTTCTATTGTCGGCCAAATGCTTGTCTCGACATAATCATCTAATCGCTTCATGTCGGTATGAATATCGCCATACGCTTGAACAAGTTTCATGACATCCTCCTTTTGCGGTGGCGCCCGCTGCATCTTTCCGATACCAGTGAGCGGTGGGGGCTTGTTTATGATTCTGGCTATTTTGGTTTTCTTGGGAACGACGGCACGAGGTGGGCCGTTACTTTCGTTTCCACTATCGTCTTGTGACTTTGGTAGCTTTTTTGGAACTTTGCGACGAATCGCTGGTAAAAGGTCCTTGCGACCGCGAAGGAAATAGCGATGGGAAAAGACGCAAGCTTCCTTGCTGCGAACATGAGGGGATTTGCGGGCATCAGAGACTCTATAAAATCCGTAAATCTATGAATAGAGCACATGAGTCAGTATATGTGTCGGACAGTCTCCTACTTGTTGGATCTGTTTACGTACATTCAACTGCCGTACAAAGGATGGGAATTTGCTGTGTTTAAAGTACTTTGGTAGGACCTACAACATGGCCATGAATGAGAAAGGGCACGGATGCTACAACCCATAAAACCTTTATTCATACCGTTTCTGCAAACTCATCGGTGTGGAAAACAACAAAAACGTCACCGGCCTCGTTCCATTCAACGAAGCGACGATGATCCGGATCCTCTAGCAGACTGGAAACAGAAGCAAGACAAAAAAAAGGACGTTAGAAAAAAAGGCGATCCCATTCTGGGCTTTACAACAAATTTGAGTGGTTGCCCCCAACACACGCTGTCGACCCAGAGGGACGGCCACTGGCGAGGAAGATAGCGAGGACACTTGCCTATAAAGCTTTGCTACAAATGACGCAACGTGGTCCCCGTCGACACTCCCGCGTCTCTCAAGGGCTGATGGAGGCGTAATGCTCCGTTCCGGACGATAGTGGATACTGGTGGCGTCCGATTCGACGGCAGTCGGAAGAGTTGGGAGAGCCAGATCGCCCAGACCCGAGTCTGGGCGTCCGTGGGACGCGTTCGGCGGGGTGTGCTCGCCGTGGTGCTCTCCCGAGTAGAGCATGTTTTGCTCGGCCGAGATCCAGAAGAATTGTAAACTAGATGGTTTGGTCAAGATGAAAAAAAAGTGGCATTGTTGAATAGACGACGACGACGACGACGACGACAAGTCAACGTAACACGAAAAGAAAACGAGACAGGGAGACATTTAGCAAAAAACTAGCAGTGACTGCATGGCTCGCAGCACTCGGAGAAAAAAAGGGCGCAGTACTTACAAGGAACGACAACGGCGACGATGACGACGACAACGAGAACGAGCAACGACGAGAGCAACGTGAAATCGAACACGTTAGCCCTTCCAAAAGCAAAGGGCGCAGTCGGGGAGAATACGGCGGCGGTGTTGTTAGAATGAAGAGTGTCTTGTTCGTCGGGTTGGCACACGCGATCCGACACGGAAGCGGTAAGGATCCGACACGGCGTAAAAGCACCAAAGCCCGTTAATGACACACCCGACAAGAAAAAGTCGCGTTCAAAAAGATGCGTTTGGCGTAAGAGACGCGCGAGCGAGCCGTGGATGGAGCAAGGCGAGAGAGGATAAAGGTCGAAATCCCGAACGATCGCGAGTTTTCATAAAATACACACTCGAACAAACAATCGAGGGGTAAAAGGCCAAAAGACAATCGGCAGCAACGAGGAGAGCAAAAGAAAAAAAAAATAGTTTTTTTTTGCCAATAACGCACGCGGAAGAAGGACAATGGGGGCAAACAACAACATTCATCCATCTAAAACAACCATGTTAGATGACATAAAATCTCGCGGCTAAAAAGCGACGACGAAGCGGACAATTGTCTCCCCTCCTCCTACCTGCCATCTGCCACCCACCACACACACCGCCTTGCAACCAAAACTCGGTCCCCTCTAAAACGTCACACTCTTGCTGCGCACGGCATCTCCCCGCCCTCCTTCTGCCCTTTTGCGCCCCGTCAAAATGCGTATTGCCAATTGATCGGAGTTTTAATGTTGTATATATAATAAATATAATTGGGTTTGGTGTAACAGCCCCTTGTGTGTTACGATGACTCTCCATGACTAGCGAGCTGTCAGTTTTTTTCCCAGAGTTGCTAATCCTGGTTTGTGGATTAGGCGATTGAGAGCCCGTGAGCCAGGCTGTGGGGACTCTAGGGCCCGCGTGTCTCCACAATAAATATCATAATGACCCACAGGTCGTGAGGTTCTGGACCCCTCCTTGTTGAGGATCTAGAACTTGTAGACATTTACAAACGGGATTGACGTTACGCCATCTTTAACGCATCCTGCATACGTTGCTTGCCATAGGCGGCCATAGCTGCGGTAGGCGGCCATAGGCTGCTATAGGCTTAGGCCTACGTATCGGTTGGCATGGATCTCGTGCAGTATCGCGTCCAGTGTGCACCCAGTGTGTGTGTTCATGGGGAAGACGCAAAACGATCTTCCTTGTAGAGGATATTGTGAGAAGCAAGGTTTAATCAGACGTTAAATTACCCGTTCAGTTCCGATTCTTGTAGAAAAAAGCGTTATATAAAAGCGGGAAAGCACAGCAAAATACAGACAATTGTAAATTTCGTGTGTCTAACCAGATCTCCATTGTTCCTGTCGATTATGTCCCATTGTTCTTTTGGGCAAGTTTTTATAACTGCACCCCCGTGTGGGGTTTATTTCCACAACCACTAGGAGGGAATTTTGCTATTCGGTCTCTGCCCTGCTTAGCACACGATCACTCGCGTCTTCTTTTGCACCACACACAGCCCATCTTGAAAAAAGGGTAACGTTGGAGTAAAACGAAACGGGCTTGGAATCGGGTTGTCCATAGGGTGTCCAAGGCTCATGACCACAGGCATTTGTAAGCGATCCCTCCAGGATTCAAGGACTCTCCATAACGTAGCCGATGGGGTGTATCGCCCGGAATCTGTTTACGATATATGAAGGTTCTTGACGATCGAGGATCCCCCACATGAGCCCATGAGGAGGAGGAGGAAGAAGAGGCACCACAATGGATTTTGTGTGAAACGACCCGCTACCGCCTTTTTTTTTGTCGCCAAAGGAGAGCGTGACGGCAGGTGGAAAAAAATAAAAAAGAGAGGTATCGCTAAAGGGACTCGGACCCCGCGGGGCACATGTTCAGCTTCATTTGTGTGCAGCTCAACCCATACGTATGCAAAACCCACGAAATACACTCAGGAGAGAGCTTCATCGAGAACGCGAGGGTAAAATCCCCACAATATCCGCGGGTCTCTGTCTTTTTTTGTGTTGATGATCAAGGATCCAGAGATCCAAAGACTGATACATACACGGCAAATGACCGATCGCGCGATACCACATTGGGTAACAGTGAACAAGGATCGTATAATAACAGTCAGCGTTGACGGTTGACGGTGACGGCCGCCGATTGTCCGCTGATAAAGACCAACGCCAAGCCTTGAAAAGACCAAAAAATGGTTCTCGCCAGAATATTGCCCGTACGCACCAAACCAAATTCCCTTACGACCGTTTCGAAATGAAGCAAAATTAATACACGCGCGCTGGGCCCTTCAAACAACTCTGCGAGTCTAGACAGCCAAGACGCGTACGAAATAGACACTCTGTGCACGTAAACAGGCTGTCGACCCGAACCACAGACTCGTAAAAGACACTGCGCCTGGCGTAGGGAAAAAGAGTCTGCAGCGGTGGTCCCAGATGAGGAGACAACCGTCAACGTCAGCTGACGTACGAGACACGTTTGCGCAGTGCACAAGGGACTGTGCGAATGACACCAACAAAGGTGGATGCGGCTTCAAGACGCGCTTCGAGACGCGCTTCGAGACGCCGGCCGGGTGCTGCGCGCTCGCGCAGTAACATCCACTCAACGACTGTCTTGCGAGGAAATTAGCACACGTGATCGATCCATGTCTGAAGACGAGACGATCAGGGAGACAACGTCGTTGGGAACGAGTACGCGCGTAGAGCATCCATCACAGACATGGCATCTCGAGGAAAAGTTCAGACTGGAGGCTGCCAGTGCCGAGAGCGCATCCATGGTCTCGCGCTACGAGACATGTCGAGCACCTCTGGTGACTGCGCAACCGAGCGAGCGACGAGCACTTTGCACCATTGATGCATTAACAGGAGCAGTCAATGCCGCGGTCCCCACCTAGAACAAGTAGATGCATTGATAAAGGGCCTCCATACCAAACAAGCAATGTGCGTACCGACCGAGTCGATTGATGCAGATAAGGGAGCTGCAGGAGTCATCCTCAACCGTTATGCGAACGACCGAATGCACCACAAAAACGTTGGCAAAACACATACCCATTAGAGCGTAAAAACGAAACGGGAAACCATCGCAAATCCTTTTAAATACACGATTGGGAAAGGAAACGCCCAAAACCCAAACCACAAAAAAAAAACAACGCTTCCTAATCACACGTGTATATTTCCACACTTACGCGTCCGGTAGCTGACTGTGCCGCTCATCGTTCAAAGCGTCCATCGTACCATCGGAACTCGTTTACGGTAAATGGGACGTTCATTTCGGGTTTTTGTCGGAGGTTTTGGGGGGTTTTGAACAAAGTCTGGGGATTCGGAATGGGCAAGGATTTATAAACGTTCAAAAAACGTCATAGTCCGTGGAAAGGCTGTTTTCAGGCGTTCCACAGATGGAGGGAAGCGGTTGGAAGATGGGCTATGGAACGTTTTGCTTTATGGAGGTCATTTTACGTGGAAAACAGGTGCTTGCAAGTAAAAGGCGGTTTGCTCTTGTGCCAGGCTGGTGAAATCAAAAGGCGTTGTCTTTGACGTAGCGTTTTCGAATGTGGAGCTACTCTTGTAGAAGCATAACCTTAAATACCCTGGTTCAGAAATCCAAGGATCCAAAGCGCCGTCTTGAAATTCGCAAATCTCTGAAGGTTGGCGCCTATCGGAGGGTCCGATCCCCCAAGACGCTTTTTGATATGATTACATAATCACATTTTTTGGGATCGCCCAAGCTAGCTAGTGTTTGGACTTTGGAGCACTCCAGTAACGGGGGCGTTGCGCGATGCTGCCGTCCTACCTCCCATCACAGCTCACTCTCGTCCTAACAACCAGTCCCTCTCCACACCATCCGTCCACACATCTCTTGACAACCGTACTCGAATCTCTCCTCCCGTCCACACAATTGGCATCATGCGACTTGATTGTCACTTTTGACGGGTACAATACCCCGTTACATCACACGCCCAATCTCAAGCAAGGTCGGTTGAATACAGAGTTGGCAGAGACGTATGGAACCTATGTACATGATGCAAAGAGATGGTTATCAACGAGATGGGCTTCACACAACAAACGACAAGACACAACGTACACGATCCAGAATGACATTGTCACCATTTCCACTGGAGCAACTACCACCGCCACTGTTCATACCACCCTCCTCACATCCCCTCAACATACACCCCTAACTCTCATCCAAGCGTCAACGCACCTAGGTTTTGCACTCTCAATCCGTACAGCCCTTGCATACGTTAAAACACCCTACATGATGGTCCTTCAACACGATTGGGCGTTCACGGCTCCGATACCTGTGCAGGATATTATACAAACAATGGAAACGAACCCAGAAATCAATTATGTGGGGTTTATTAGTCCACGGATTGTGGAATATGCTCGGAAAAAGGGACAAGGGAAGGGGTTACCCAGTTCCATCATTCACGAAAAATCGTATAAAGTGCCATTGGCAAGGTTATTTTTCTGGTTTGATAAAAACCATATTGCTTCTACAGAGTATTATCGAACTAGGGTCTTTACAAAGGGGTACTTTCAACGTGGAGATTTTATTGAAGACACTTTTGGACATGTTCAGTTGAATGATATTAAACAACGAGGGCTGGAAGGACATGCTGATTACGGGACGTACTTGTATTACCCGGATCAAGGTCGTGTCAAGTGCTTGTTGCATCTAAATGGGCGGATCAAGATGCTTGATAAAGAAGGAAAACAAAAGGAAATTGAGATGGGACAGGACAAGAGACGGACAAGGTCCGCGAGAGACCCTGGGGACGAGCAAGAAATTGATTGGGATGACGATAGATGGGAATTGTAAATAGTGGCATAATGTACACACTTTTTTCGATAGTAACATACTATTTATTAGTACCGATGCTCAAATGGTATAATAAAACCTATATACACTTGTGTAAAGATACCCCAGAAAAGGGACAAACCTCCCTCTTTCCTCCTCAAGTCTCTAAACCGAAGAAAAAACAAAACATTGTCCATGATAGCCAAAGAATGCCACACCATGACCAAATCACAACATCCAATCATTACACGGCATCCTCCACTTTAAACTCTTCAAACTCATCGTGAACAACAACCCGCTCCTCACTCGACCCAAGAAAAACCCACTGCCCAAAAATTAGGAAATCGAAGAACAATGTTCCACCACTCCCCAATAAATACGGCAAAGCACCCTTCAAAAACTCTGGTTCAGTCGATCTCAGTAAAATGGATGCGACATATGTCAGATTCCCCATAGCGGCACAAAAGAACATGGATATGCTTAATCCGTAGGTGGATCCACGGCACATGTTGTGATAGAGTTGCGGAAGACGGCTCGAGAGGTAGAGAAACGTACAGGTCCACGCCATTAAGAGACCAATCGTATGCGTCTGCTCAGTCTCTGATAGCGGGTCGCTGAGTATTTTGGCCATTGTCTTGTCATGCGTTTGTAGTGATGGAGTCGCAAATGTGGAGAGTGCCATGAACATGACGGCAAATAGTGGTGAGTTCCGGCGGCTGAGACTTGGGCTGGCAAGAAGAGGCGTGTCTTCGGTGGGTTGGTGAACAGCACGAGTCACAGCGACCGAAGGGTGATCAAATGTTCTTCTTCTCTTGCGACGGAAAGAGCGCCATTTGGTATAAAACAGATACTGCACCATGAGCAAGGTATCTATAAACACAAAATACGACGCCAGATACGTCTATGCCCATGCACACACAAAAGAATTTAGAATTCTGCATTCACAGTTGCATCGATTACAGCAAGAGGTTTGCCTCACCTGAAACGGTAATTGCCCCGTCAAGACACACCCCACCACATTGGCCACATCCCCAGCAAGCCAATTCGCCAAAAACGTTGCACTCAACGAACTAGCATCCCCATGCGCCCAATTCTTGTACAATTGGGGCATTTGCGCACATAACCAGAATCCAATGGACAGGTATCCAAAGAGAACGGAAGCGACCTCACGGTCTGTGTAGGCACATTCTCCGAAAAGGGTTTCGATAAAGGGAGATGCTGCCCGCCCTAGGGCGTCTGGCGGGCACTGTAGCATTCGGGTTTGTGCGGTGGATAACGGGGAGAAGAATGCACCGGAAAACTGTCAACTTGGCGGAATGCAGTACGTTCGCCGTTCTTTGTAAATATGGGAATACGAAAGTTGGTATAAACTTGTGGGTTTGCCTTGTGCTTTTGCAAAATAGAGAGAGAATAACTCGTTCAAGGAAACCCTAATTCTGAGGGAAGTAAAACAGTAAGGACTCAGCCAAAAAAACGTGTCTTGCGGGATTCGGGCATTCCGCCATCTTTTTTCCAACTGCAGATAACAACGTACTCTGTTAATCTTTAATAACGTTCTGGATTGCTCTTGTCGTGTGTATAGTGATTCAAACGACAAGTTTCCCTAACTCTTGTAATGCTCCGAATGTTTGTCCAAAGGGTTCAATGCAAAAGAGTACGTTGTCACTTCATAGAACGACGACACCGTAAACAGTGTAAGAAGCGTTTGATGGTTAAAGAAAAGGAAACGAGGGTGTGAGTTCTTCAATAAATAATAAAAAAAAAAAACTTGGACTCTGTGTGTGTGCTGTGCTGTGTGGGGTAGAACAAGAGAAAGATATGTGTGTGGAGGAGAGAGTAGAGATATGGTTCAATAAAAGCCACGGGGAGTGAATCACGCGGGTAGAGTGGAGGGAGATTTAAGAGATTTCTCACTATGAAAGAATGATAAGCGTTCTGGGGGCTTGTTTATCATTTCAACCTTTTGTTTACGATTGCTTTTTTATTTCGAGTATTTTATCCACATGCTTTTATCCACATGCTTTTATGCAAATGCTTTTATGCAAATACTCTCAACATTGTCAAGGGTTGTTGAATCCATAAACGAATCATTTACACTTCACATTTATAAAAAACAGATTACCAAATGGCTATGCACACTTCAGCAGCACGAGGCTACTCTTTACGCACTCTGTAACCAAGACAAACGCAAAACGTCATCAAATTGGCACACTCTACAAAAAGCCCTACCCCCCTCCAGTCACATCTCTCATGTTTACGAGTTCATTTGTAACCTTACTCAAAAAGCACAGCAAAAAACAAATTGAAACAACCGATAAGATGATGATGCTAATGATAATGAATATTGCTAAAGAATTGTATATAATACACATGCAGAACGAAAACAAGAAAAATAAAATCCCAGAATGCATCTGAATATCAATAACAGGGAGGTCACAAGGGAAAAAAAAAAAACAACATTCACAAAAAGGAATCAGACCCAAAAGAAATCGCCAAAACTATATCACTGAAACGAGAAAAAAACCGAGTGTCCTGCATCTCGTCTGCAGCTTCGCAATCGGCTCAACATCGTCCGCTCATAAAGAACCCAAAAGAAATAATTTTCTGCCTGTCTATGCCAAAGCTGGCCCAAAATATCGGGGTAATGCCTCTAAACAACCAATTTTTGCTTCTCTTCAAACCATAATCGCATCCGGCGCTCGTGCTTCATTTGGTGCGTTCACAGCCCAGTCCTTGTTGAGGTGCATGCGACTGATATTGTACTCCATCCTGGCACGGTTCTGTTTGACCGCCCTCAGGAAGCGTGTGACAACCAGTGCTTCGTGTTCATCCTCATCACTAAACGAGTCGTCATCGCCGCTCATGTAATCAATGGCCGTGGGAGCGTATTCAGGTGGGGTGTAAACAGCTGCTCTAATGGTGCATTTGTTTACCACCTGTCGAAAGTTTCGATCCATTTCGCTGTCATCTGTGACGGCCTCTTCGAGGATCTTGCGGAGACGTTTGCGACTGCGTTCAGACTCGCGCAATTGCCGCTTCAAATGCTTGACTTGCATCTCGAGGTCGCGTGTCGTTTTCTCTGCCAGAGGGACTGGGCGCATGGGCGAGGATTCGGGAACAAGATCCGGTCCGTCGATATCCAGATCCATCTCATTATCCATCAGGTCAGAATCGTCACTGTTGTAATCATCCTGGGATTTTCCCTTGGTGTTCAAGCGACCAAAACTCCATTTTACTCCGCAAGCATTGCACAGAGTGCGCTTTCCGGACGGACCACGGCGCCATTGAGGCGTAGACGTCACACCACAACCTTCACATCGCTTTCCGGCATGGGGAGGCGTCTTGTCACGTACAAACGATGGTGCACGCACGGGCTGCGTGAATGCGGCCACAGACTTTGTCACATCCACGGTGGAAGGACCCATTGGGCTAGCTGCATGCGAAAAAGGACTTTCTGTGCGACGCTTCTTTGGCGACAAGTATGCTCCCTCTTCCTCGTCTTCCCCAGGATAAACGGGTCGACGTTTGAGGCGTGTACCCGGAGGCCGGAGAGCCATTCTTGTTGTGCGTCGGGCTTCGGGTGTTTCGATATCATCCTCGAGGGAGCCCTCCCGTTGTTGCTCATCTCCGCCTGACCATTCAAAGGTAGAGTTGAAGCCACGGTCCACTTGCTTCACAAAAGTGCTAAAAGGTCGCGTACCTTCACCGTCTGAAGATGAAACAAACGAGGAGGAACTCCACTTTTCTTTGGGTTCCTCTTTTGGCGGTGCAGGTCTCTTTCTCTTTTCTTTTGCCGGTGGTTCGGCATCACCAGGCTGAGGTTTGTAGTCGAATAGCTCAACAAGATCCTGTTCAACTCCATGTGCAGCGGCCAACGTCCGCGCACTTTCCAAGGGTATCCAAGTGCCTTGAAAACCAGCATATCCTCCTTGAACTTTTTCGTGAACGCCTCCAGTGACGTCTCGCTCTAGAATCTTTGTTCGCTGGGGTTTAGGAAGACCCGCTGCGCGGAGGATTTGTGTTGCGTTGATATAGGCATCGGCAACGCGACGCATGACAGGAACGCCGCGACATTGTATTTCGTAGACTCTTACCCCGCTATATGAGGCAGCGCGAATTGCTGGCGCCATGTGAATGAGGTTCTGCTGTTCGTAAGGCTGCGCGTCAGTTGTTAGAAAAACACACACGACGACGAAAAGTTGATTGTGTCCAGTGTGCCAAGAACGCGTTCCTGTGCGCAAAAACGACCGGGCCGAGCGCGCTCTCTTATCCTAGTTGCTGTTCGTTTCCCTGTCCTGAAAGTTGAGAGAAAAAGGGTGGTTGTTGAGAAACCAAGTGAGTGTTTCCGCCACGAACGAGAGAGAGAGAGAGAGAGACGTAAAGACGGATAGGTGTGAGTAATAGAGACGCGAGAGAACAAGAAAACGCGAGATGCGTGAAATGCGCGTAACAGAATGGGTGTCAGCGAACGAGAGAGATGAGAGTAGAGATGCGTGTAAGCGAGATGAGTTGCGAGATTGCAACAAACCAAAACTTGTCGTGTGTGTTACTTGCTTGCTACAAGTCCTTGAGAAAAAAAAAATCAGAAGGAAAGAAAATCCAAGAAAAAAAAAAGCGCAGTTTTGCCCTTGAAGAAAATCTCTCCAAATTTAGGCACAAGGAAATTTGTGACAAAAAATGGGTTGAAACCAATTACAAAACACATCACTATTAATAGATTTATGCGGAGTTTGAAAATGGGACTTGTAAAGGGCGGGTGACCTTTTGGGGTCATCTGGCTGAGGATAATGATCCTCTTTTTTCTCAAAACAATGTTTGATTTCATCATGACGTTCATTACAAGGGATATCCTTTAACACATTGGTATTTGGCATGGAAGCATTTGTATGTAAAGGTTGGAAAAGGTCAAAGGAAACCAGCGTCATAGACAGAATGCATCTAGCCTTTGGAACAATGGACATGTTCACAGAGTGCACATTCAAGAGCAAAGCGGTCTACTTTTTTTTTTTCCTTTGAAAAAGCGGCTTTTTTTTTTTTCAAAGCCAAAAAACCCAACTGTGCTGCCTGACCAACTCCCTACAGAATGCAAGAGCACCAATGCCTTTGACTGTTATTTTCGCGCAAAGCAGCGAGGCAAAAAAGCGCTAGTCTCCAATTGGGCAACACGGGCACTCTGTGCAGACCTGTGTGTGCTTTTGCGTCTGATGACTATGCCTTTCCAGTCGAGGAGTGGACATGCCAACTGTCATGCTATCATCTCGTGCTTTGGGATTCCTTTCTGGACTTGCTACTTTCGGCCTGCCAACAACACTAGGCAGCCAGATGAACATTTACATGGAGTAGACTCTTCATTGAAAAAGATAAACACATTAATTAATGTGAATTAAACACGGCATTGTGACTTGCTGCGCAAACGGACTCTGCAGCCACGTGTGGCGTTGACTCAGCACGTGAGAGGACACTTGCTGAGATGACATGCTTTTGTCCAAACTACTTTTTGCCAGGCGGTTCTGGATAATCTTGTGTTTTTATTGACGGCAAAAGACGAGGATCAACCAGCGTCTAAACCTTTATTCCAATTTCCAACCCCCACTTGTCCTATTAACATTGTCATTACAGAGCAATCAAAATTGATAACTCTCCTCATGTACCCAAACATCTCGCTTCAAGTCCGCCACCTCATCCCGCACATTTTTTGCAAGACCCTCTGCGGCACACAAAAAGACGCCTAGGCGGGAAGACGGTGCAAGGTGTGGTATTATTTGAGACTGGAAGATGGTGTGAGGGGACATTCGGTGAGGTGTGACTGTTAGAGATCCGTTCTCAGTCTCGAGTCCCTCGTCGAGTTTTTCCTCCAGAGTTTTCGATGATACGTTTGTCGTCGTGACATTGATTTCATGTACGGTTGTGTTAAAGATGTGAAACTCGAGTATACCGGCCAATTGGGGGGACGCCAACAGCTGATTCACAGCGCTTGTTCGTTGTGCCCCGTTGGCTCTGATGCTCCAAAATACTAAAAGTTTTTTGAGGCGGCCACCCTCCCCACTGCGTCTCAATGCTTCCACGCACTGCACGAGTCCAAATGCCGGTGCCACACCCGTCCCCGTTACAAAACATGCTACAACGTCAGCCTGAGTGACATCGAACCCACACTGTCCGAACGGGCCTTCAATGTGGACAGACGTGTGGATCATTGACCCTGCTTCCATGTCTTTGGGCTGTGTTAGCGCGTCGTAAAGTTTGGCAGTCCATTCTTTGGGTTTTTCGGATGGCCCAACAAGGATAGTGAAACGGTTGGATGTTGGAGAGCCACAGAGACTGAAAGGGTGGTATTCTAGTGTCGAGATGCGAGGTATGTTGAGGAAGATGTATTGACCTGGTGTGTAGGAGCATGGTCGAGTCGCTTGGATTTCGAGACTGGTTTTACCGAAAGAGGCGTTAGATGGGCTGTTTCGACAAAACTCGTCCAACTAGTACTCACCGAAGGTAACCTGGCTCCTCCCGTACAACCTTGTCGATGGACAATTGTGGGTTCCACCTCCCCGTGGCACGGATTGCAATGTCCACGATCCAGAGAATGATACCGGGCACAGCGAAATAAAAGTTGGTGGACCCATGCAAACAAGCAAACAGGATCATGATCAACATAAACCCGTGCAGAATGTAAAAGGTGTTGAAGTGGCGCCTCCGGATAAAGGGAAGAGATGATAAAGATCCAATGACAAAGCATACGAATGCGCAAAGACCCATCAGGTCTCTGTAACTGTTGACGGGAACAACACGTCAGGACAAAGATCATTGCAACATGAGCCGCAGACGTGAACAGAAACCTACCTGTGGATATCTGGCTTCGCAACGCTCGTAGCAAACAGAGCCTCAGCGTAGGTTTGGACCGAAAGGCCAATCTTTGTAAAGAAGGATGCCGCGTGCATAACGCTCCACCCGAACATGCAGTACCCAAAGAACCGATGAATCCGGAGGGCACCATCAAACGGAACCTTCAACAACGTTGCCACAGGGCTGTTGCGTGAGACTGGGATGAGAACAAACCCAATGAACATGTCGAGCGGGTTTCCTGTTGAATGGCTGAACAGGTTGAACCATTGAAACATGTAACTGTTTTTGCCCTTTGGCTTGACACCGCTGCGATAATAGTACATTTCAAAGTAGGCGAATTTCCACAAAAGTACACCAAGGGCTGTGGATAGGAAGAGTCCCTCGCCGATGGAGAATGGGAGATGAACGCGGCGGACGCCAAAGGGAATTGCCAGCCGGCGCCGGAAAAAAGAGTCAAGGCTCGAGAACTGACGGATAATGAACGTTGCAATGCAGACAGCCAGGATGTAAGAGTAAAATACTGGAGGATGACGACAACAGAGTATAAGCAAGCGAACTGCATAATGGGAACGAACGCTCAACCGCACCATAAACCGAATTAAGAACCATCCAATGCCGATCGTTTCCGACGGGTTTGTCCATGCAATAGGTGATACGGCACTCCGTATCATACTTTATTAGAGAAACTGCTACGCCAAAGCCACCAAAAAGCGCAACGAGTCCTGCAAAGAACAGGCCAAGTTCGCGGCGGGTTGCAGATGGAGAGCCTTTGAACATTTTGTTTCTTGTCAAGAGAGAGAACTGTGGACCTTGTGCAAGCGCACCCATTCAGTGCAGGTCCTTTTATATTTGAGACCATCTCCTTTTTTTTTTGCACGTTGATCGTGTCAGAACAACCCCCGAGCTAGATGGACGAGTCAAGACAATGCATGCTATTTAAAAAAAAATCTACAATGGCATTGATGGTCTTCCGAATCTTTTCACATTCGTACTACAAGTAGAGACTTGGCTATGGTGAATGCACCCGAGGCCAGTTCCCCTAACGCTTTTCATCCGCCTTCATCGGAGCGAGTTTCACGGTTCAAGAGGTTGGATCTTAAGTTTACATGCCGATCTGTACTTTTTGTCACCTCCGAACCCCCGATGTCGGCGAGGACAGCCAATGAGGCGACTGCACCGATTTAAGGTTTTGATTATGTAATGTGAGATCAAAACGTTTGCCGAAAACAAGAATGGTCAGCTTTGTTTCATTGCTGTTCCTTTCCAAGATTCTTGGATTTTATGCAAGGATTTGCAGGCAGCATGAACTCATATTCATGCAAGCTATGCAAGGTTCAATATTAAGTAGCACCATCATATGTACCAAAAGTTTATAATATTTCCATGAAAGAACCCATGGCACACATGTGACATGACTAGGATCGGATCCAACGTTTAAAGAAATCCAAATCTTATTTTCGTCATTTATCCATTTATGGGTTAATCGACATTAGTCAAGTGGGCAAAGGTCCGACTTTCCTTTTGCTCTGTCCACAGCGAAACGATGCTCCCAGCCATTGCCCAACTCAACACACGTAATGTCATCCTTGCTTCAGGTTCACCCCGACGAAAGGAAATACTCGAGCGACTGGTACGCCATATTGTAGTGAGGAATCACATGTACACATGTTCATGTGTTTTGTTGCGCGTAGGGCGTAAAATTCAACATCAACCCCTCGACATTCCCAGAAGACTTGAACAAGGTAAAACTTGTCCTCCTTTTCTCCTCCACTCAATATACCCAAACACAAATCTACAAAAACAGACCATATTCTCAAATCCAAACAACTACGTCACTCGCACCGCCCTCGAAAAAGGCCTCCAAGTCTACCAATCCCTCACAAATACAAACCCACTGGTCATTAGCGCAGACACTATTATCGTCCTCGATGACCAGATATTAGAAAAACCGGTGGATGCTGCCCATGCAAAGAGGATTCTGTCTAGTTTATCGGGACGGGTACATGAGGTCTTGACGGCCATTGTCGTCGTGTTTGGTGTATCAGCGTCTGGTCAGCCATTGTATAAAACGGCTGTAGAGAGGACTTTAGTCGAGTTTGGAGTGATTGGGGATGCGGTTATTGATGCGTATGTGGAGACGGGGGAACCCATGTGAGTTGGACGTGTCGTCTCTTGGCCGATCGGCCTCTCAGATTGATCACCTTTTTGTTGTTAAAGGGATAAGGTGCACTCATAGCGGGTTCGTTATGCATCCTCCTTGATGCTCATCAAAGTATAAATATTCATACAGGCTGGTGCATACGGATATCAGGGCCTAGCGTCTGCCTTCATTCCGCGGATCAACGGATGTTACTATAATGTCGTGGGTGAGTGCAAGAATCTACGCCTTTGGAATGGAGGTGACGCACAGACTCATTTGCTGTTTTGACAGGATTCCCATGCCACAGATTCCTCTCTACAATAGACGACCTCATAGCCAACGGACATATCTGAAGATAATCAATCTTAACATGGTGCACCGTAACGTGTAGAATTTAGTCACATTCTTTTTGAAATCTGTGTATCAAAACACCTGTCATTCTCAACTAGTCCGTACTTGCCCTCCACATAAAATGGCTACAGAATCTCTTCAAAAAAAAAAAAAAAACCTATATATTGGCGCCTAAACCAGTATCACATGTTGTTCACACTGTCACAGCTATCCTTCTTGCCTCTCCTTAGATATGAATCCTTCGTGTCGGTCTACGGATCTGCAGGCACGTTAAAGTCGACGCAAACACGACGACATGCAAGTCATTGAATGCGTACCACTGGCTCCTCGTCATCCCCTTCATTGTGAACCGCCGAAAGCGCCTTCTTTCGTCGCGTATTTCTCTAAAACTCAACATTCAGTAAAGGCGGATTACAAGTAGCAATTGCCAAAATGCCAGCTCACCACTTCATGCTTGGCCCCCTTTGTCCCGTCCTGGTCCTCATCCGACACCCGCACAGGACTCACAATCTCATCGCTCGCGACGATACCGCTATCTGTCTTTGCTGCCCGCTGCATGTAGAGTATTGGCAATGAATACTGTCGCCTCAATCTTACGGGTAATCCATACCTTTGAACGCCGTGTTCCTTCGACAGTCGCGTCATTTTTGGATTTCTTATTGGAACCAATATTTCGACAGATTAACATCCGTCATTCACGATTGAACCAAAAACAGTAAAATGCACCCACCTTGATCGCCGCAGCCCTCCTTTGGCGGATTCCTCGTGAATTCACAGGTTCGACCTCATCTTCAGGAGCTGTATCAGATTCCGCCTCCACAACCGGTGTTGTATCCATTTTGGGCTTGGCTCTTGTTCGTTTTGCTCTTGTGGGTAGAATTTGCTCTTCTACAACCTCTTCTTCGGAAAGTTCATCATCGACAACTTGTTTTGACACGGGGTGGGAAGACGTCGACGTCTGGACGCACCAAAAGAGTTGGCAAACTTATATATGACTAATCTATCCGACACGGTCACTTACTGCTCTCGGCTGCGTTGTAGAACTTGCGGTTCCTCGACCTCGTCTAATCAGGCATGCTTTAGCTGTTGTTCTCAAGTCGAGCACACGAAGCAAAGCTCACCCTCTGGTCCGGCGGCTCAAATTCTCCCCATCGCTCTCGTTCTCTTTTTCTGAGGTATCCATTTGCTTGGAATCCGCAAGAACTTTTCTAGCTCTTCGTCTACTTCTGTCAAAGAACTCCATGAGTATGCGTTCCGCCAGAAGAGCGGTGATAACACGTACGTCACTGGGGTCATAGCGACAGATTTGACAGATGCTTGAATATGTTGCACGGGCTTTTCGGAGGATTCCATGATGTCCGCGTCGTCGTCCTCGATTTCCGACTCCTCGCTTTCACTTCTTTCCTCCTCCGGTATCTCCTCCATTTCTTCCTCCTCGTCACTAACCTCTTTGAAGCTTTTCGTGCGCGATTTTGCAGACCGTGGTGCATTTCTATTATAAATATAAGTATGATTCAACACCGTTCAACGGATTAGCGAACGTACTTTCGCTGTGGCGTCTCTTCAGGAAGCTCATCACTTTGTCGTCGCTTCTTGGCAGACGACGGTGTTTGCGCTCGTCTTGACGCCTTCCGTTTCGTACCTGTCACGGAGCCGTTGTCGTCACTGTCCGGTGTCATTGAGCGAGATCGGGCTGGTCGACCGGTTGCCTCAACCTTCCGACTTGCCTACAGTATTCGTAGAATTGGAACCATGGTAAAGCTCGTATAGCAACCGTGCACACACGTACCCTAGACTTCTGCCCATGACCTAGGACGCTGGACATGGCCCGCATGTCAATAAACTCCTGAGGAAGGTAACTTTTGCGTGTATTCTGTCAAAAGCGCGGATTACTTGAGCGGCCGGAGGGGAGCAAGGTTCACACTTTTCTCACCTCAACGGCATTCTGTGACGACATTTTTACGAATAGGTCTTTTGGAAGGTGCACATTTCCGGGGTAAGAAGGTAAACTCCATCCAGCGTGATTCGCCCTCTCTTGAATGATAAGTTGTGCCAAATCGCTCAACGCGTATAAATTCTGTCGAAATTTGCCATTAGCCCATGCACGATTTACAGACACATCCAATAAGCATACCTCTGAACTCTGTGCATGTATATCCCGCACCGTCTTTACCTTTGCAGTCATATAGTAGAGAAACGACGCATTGTCAGATGTGGCGACAGAGTCCAGGAAGAACTCGATGTATCTAAAGAAGATGGAGTAAGGGATCATATCTGAAACTGCAAATGGTCTATCCAAAAACCGCAACTAACGTACACTGCAAACATCTGAAGATCCTCGACCTCGATGTTAAAGTCAGGATGATGGGCAAGAACATGCAGAAACCGCACAATTGTGTGCTCGAGCAGCGATGCCTGCGGGTTTTCCTCTGTATATGCTTCGTTAGACTATCTTGTCAGTTTTCACCAGCTTTAGCCACTGTCCGTACCTGCTCTCTGCTGTTTGGCCTTGCGCGACAGGAAATTCTTGACCTGTATCATTCCAAACTTAGCACCGATAAACAGAGAACTTTGCAAACCAATAGAAACCTTTAATTTAAGCTCTGCCTCTGGCTCATGTGCTGCCAACATCAATATAACCATGTAGTCGAAGGGCACCGTCTTGTTTGACAAGTACATAACCAACTTTTCCACAAAGGCGTTTCGAACTTGATATATGGGGTCCTGTGTTACCAATCTTAATTTTAACAGTGCCCCCAGTTCATGATCGAAACTAGAGCAAATACCTGAATGCAAAGGGCAAGCTTCTGCAAATACGTAACATCAATCTGCGAGGCATATGTAGGACACCGAGCAAGCTTCAACAGGGAAATAGCCGCAATCAATCGCAGATGAGTCTGAACCGCGGGACTGAAACTTGGGTTAAGCCGGTAATTAGCGTTTAAGTGTATGTCCCAAGTCCACGTACGGAGTAGTTTTTTCCGCAACAAGTTCACCATCATATTCGAGAAGGCGTCGTAGTAATTTGAGAACAGGGGCAGCCACGTCTGCGTCTTCGTTGTTCGCGAGTGCGATTAAGCGTTTAACCAATATTTTGATACCCATAATCTACAAGACTTAAAGTCAGAGGGCGACCAGGTAAAAACGCACAAGCCTTGTACCTTTAATTGGCCTTCTCGCTCGAGACTCTCGTACTCGACCCAATCAACATCGTTTTCGACAGCCTGTACATAAAGGTCTTCAAAAACCGGGCTACAAACACCTTTAACAAGTGAATCGCACCTTTCTGCGGTTGACAAGTAATAGGTCCTTTACGATAAAGTTCGTGATCGCAGTATTGTGCGGTTCAAAGAGTGTTGAGGCGTTGCGAGCGATTTGCGCTAGGGCTTGCAGATGAGAAAGGAGTTTCTCATTGTCAAAGGACAGAGAGCCCAATATTTCCTAATGGACAAAATTAAGCAACCCGAATCCGAAAACAATCATCATATCATGTGCTCAGCCCACCTGCAACACTTCATTGCAGGCTTCTGTCGGATTTCGTGTGTGTGCCAGGACAACTATTGCATTCTTCGCCTGCTGTGGTGATCCTTTCAGTGCAAATTTGATCAATCGCTCCTTCGATTGCCTGCAAAAAGCTCATTAAAATTGTTCATCCCGCGTAACCGCCATACGATACTACCTGTCCTGCGGAGCTTCGTCGGGAAATGTTTTGGTAAATCTCGCCAAAGCTTCTAAGGAGTCGGCAACTGCGGTACATTGTCAGAATCCACTTCAGATCTGAGATACGCAAGTCGCATTACCAAGAGCTTCATCCGGACTTCGCAGCAGTTGAGTGAAGTTTTCCAAATTACTTCTGTACAACGCCGGGAAAACCGTCGATATATCCTGCGAGGAAAGGCATGAACACTTTGGGTGGACTAGCATAGACCATATATCTTCCCAAACCTTTAACAGTCGTTCCGCCGTCTGTCCATGACGTTGAACCAAGGCGTCCTGGCTGGACCGAGCTGCTTGGGTTTTCTCCAGCAAATAGGGTATTGAGCTTTTCGGTACGAGTGTGAGACATATTCTTCGTAACAAAATGGACAACGTCTCCATGACCCCCGCTTGTTGTTCTACGCGTTTGACAATCTCTTTCTATAGTTATCTTATTAGCCAGTATCCATGGGCACCAAATGCTTTTCGAAGTCTTACAATGGCTTTCATTATAGGCTTGTAATCGCTCTGTGGGTCCATGACGGTGCGCATGAGCTTGTACAGGCGACCATCGTTGACTTTAGCAAATTTCTGCAAATGCGCCTGCGCCTTCTTCGGGTCCGGAAACCGAGCTATGATAATAATATGTAAGAAAGCCCATCATTTCATGCGCTATATTAATATCCTTCAATACTCACATGCCAAATACGTGATAATCTGAAGTAAAACCTTTTCCGTCGCGTCTTCGTCAGAGTCCATGATTCCTCCCTGAAATAATATGTCACCAACGGTCCGGACAAACTTCAATTAGGAACCACTCACGTTATACTTTTCGCATTGATCCAAAAATATTGTTGTCGCATGAACAGTTCTGGAATAGCACAATCTGAGTATTGACCCGTGGCTGGGAGAGATGACTCGACGAATCCCTACTTAGCCTGACGGTCGAGAACGCTCAAAAAAGCCTTCCTCTGTTTCTCTGTCCAAGCTGTTGTCACGTTCAAAAGTCGCTCCGTGCGAGCAGAGTCCTCGGGTATTGCAGGAAATATATGATCGTGCAGAGCTTTTTCAACGAACACCCTAAGCAAGAAAAAAGTCAATGCCACATCAAGATATCACACCAAAATTGAAATGATTACTTCGTCTCCGGATCGTCCATATAAAGGATTTCAAGGACACTCCCGGGTATCCATCCGTACTTATCAGCCGCCCCAACTTCCCCAATGCTTGGATCCATTCTGTCTCCGTTGAAGTAAGCATTGGAAAAAAGTGATGGTGCCGAATTTAATGCCATAGTGCCGAAATCTACTTACATTTCCGCGTACTTCATATTGAAAACACGAGATAGCGCTTCTGTCGCAGCTTCCCGCACAGTGGACTGCAGAGGTTTCGTGCAGTAGTGCCGTTAGAACCAATTTACAGTCCCAGCGCCATCAGATATGATACCTTTTTATCGCGCAGACGAGCTCCAGCAGCCAACAGTGTATCTTTGCTCACATTGTGCGCAGACATCATGTCCAACTGCGTAAGAACTTTCACAGCGGCGGCTCGTACTTTCTCGTCCGGATCTATCATCTTTTCTCTGAGACTCGCTACCCATTTAACCATGATTAGCATCCTCTCACGTGAAGCCCCGGTGCTTTTTTTTACACACCGTCAACATCCGCCGACAATTCGGGATGGCTTTTGAACAAAGGAAAACAGTACTCGAGCCAGATGATGCGCACAGATACTTGCTTGTCAAGGCGTCTGTAAGAGGATTTCCTTTATTCACACGTAGCGCATCTACTCTTTTGCATTTTTTCGCCTACCGTCCCAACCAGGATTTCCAGACATGAGGATATTTCGCGGCAAGCTTCGATCCGGGCTCGGAAAACATTTGTCCCAACACGTTTGTTGCCAACGTACGAACGTGTACATCGTCAACCTGGCGTGAGGGATACAGGTAAGTAAGGGTACCACCACTACGTATAATTCAGGCTCACCTTTAATTCCTCATCCAGTTGTGGTATCACGCTAAGCAATACTGCTGGTGAAGCGCGGTTTATCTCCAAGATCACCTTGTGTGCATCCTCGAACTCTTTCTCATCGCTCTCATCCTCAAATCCCCTTCCTGCAGCCACAATTGCATCGCTAAAGTACTACACCTTCTGGTTAGAGCAGATATATGGACGTGACCACAGAAGTTACTCCTATTACTTGGCAAACATAACGCTGTAGCTTATCTGGACAGGCGTTGCAGAGATCCGCGGCCATCTTGAAGGCAGCAGGACGTTCTACCTGCCTCTTTTGTCGAAAAGACGACAGAATGATATCTATCACATCCTGCGGTAGATGATGGCATTCGTCGACAAGCTGCTGTAAGATATCGACCATGCAAATATACACATTTTTGGTAAAATCAGGTCTGGACACGGATTAGCTCTCAACATTTTGCAGGCAGCATTGTTTCGGAGTAAGATCCTTACTTGATTAGGTCAAAAAAATTACGGAAGAAGTCCACAATAAGGTCCTCGGCATTTAAATCGGCCACAAGAACAACACTTTTCACTGTGGACAGGCTGTCCAATAAATAGTAATAGAACGAAAAATAGGGACCATTCTTATCGGCAATGTGCTGAAGCTGCTTTGCAAAGAATTCGAAGATTTCCTACCAAATCGGTTCAATGAAGGTAGATTGAGCGGTCATATTCGCCGATTTAACGCACGCAATAACATCCCTACCCGCAGTTGATTTTGGTTATAGGGCGCATCTGGTGCAAATAGCCGTAAGATGTCCGCCAGACAACAGGCTGTCAAGATCTTCACTGCTTTGTCTTTATGGGACATCAAAGACGGGGATATTAAGTCCTTTTGCACAGTCTTCAATGATTGCGTGTCGACATCCTCTTGGTCCATCCGACTCAAATCATTGTGCACTTTCTACAAAATGATTATGAATACAACGGATGTCAGATATATCAGCACTCTCTTGGTTTGTCGTCGCCAACCAATCATAGTTGAACAGCTTGTACGATGCAACGGAGTCTCGGTAGAGACCAATTCTCGCCCCAGTTCCTCTGAACTGTTGCACGGTCCATTGTTCGTCTTGAATATTTTACTAACCTTTAGCCTGTTCACCAACTCTGAGGTGGAGACCTGCTTGCTGCCGGCGATGGGGACAAGGCGTTGGGTAAAGTTCAGCTTGCGCGGCCCCCGACGCGAGGGAGTATCCGCTCCAGCGGCAAATCCAAATGGATCAGAGCTCATGGCGGCGACACAACAGTAGAGCTGCCCACAACGTCACACCAGGGTGGGCATGGGTTTCACGTCAAGGTAAAGTAGATGTATCTTCTCTGTCGCTCAGCAGCAAGCGAGATCGGTGGATGCAGAGCAATATCGAGGAGCCCTTTGCCATCGGCATTTGACTCCATCTCGATTGGGTTAAATTTGCTCATTTATCCCAAAATGGACATAATTGTGGTGCTCCAATGAACATACCAGCCACCGCCCCTAACAAGACCAACAATACGGAAGATGTTGGCATAAACCTTAAGCTGCAATGGCATTCACCTTATCGTTTGGCCCTTTGGCCTCAGAGTTAGTCGATTACTTGTAGTGGATTTGCTCTCCTTCGTTCCCCAGTCAAGTCTCGCTCTAACGGCAACACACTCCTAACACACAGCTCGGGTGTGATGTCCAATGCCTAGTGGGAGGGCCAGATCAAAACATTGACCACATGGATCCAGCCAGAAGTCTTACTACGGGGCCGATAGTAGTGTAAAGCATTTTGCGGCACTAACGAAGGGTTCGTCCAGGGTTACGCCATTCCTCAGTCCCTTGAATCTGCCATCCTCCGGCTTCGTTTTCGATATGTTAAATCCCTTGGATGAGGAAAGCGTGGCTTAGCGTAGTAATTAAGCCATTTTTGGTAATGCTGACAAAGTGACTATTCCCCTCAAAAAACATTCTGCTTTTGATCCCAACGTTATCGTATTGGCACCCGCAGCTCATCCTTTCATTCCATTCAGGTTTTTACCATGACGAGTAAGTGTATAGAACGATTTGAGTTGAAAGTATATTATCATTGAATATTACTTTTCTGGTTCACCACAAGCTCCCTGTCGATTCTACGCGCTTGGAACCTGTCACCGCCGCGACTGTTCCTTTTTGCACGATAGACAGTCTATGGACAAGGCAGTGTGTGCTTGTACGTAGATAACTTGACGTTCCAGTGGGCTCTTGTGTCAAGAGACCGACTGTTGACTGTTTTCTGACATCCTTAGATTATCAAAAGGGACAGTGTCGGTTTGGCAACTACTGTGCGCTTCAACATGTAAAGGCGGGATCGGGCTCGGTGACGTCAAAGTCCCACAGCTCGCAAACGTCCCAAGCATCTACTAGTAGACCCTCACCCGTAGAAAGTAGTCCTACCACCGGATCCTCTCGGAAACCAGCAACCGTTCCTTCGGCGGGAAATCGGAGAACATTTATCCCGTCCTCTGCAGCATTGGGATTGGGAGCTGCATCGATAGTTGTACGTGGTGGCGAAACATTGGTAGAATCAAGAGAAAGCGTAGCGGGTGAAAAGAAACCGCACGGTGAAGAGATACCATTGGAAACCTCTTTGTGCGGCCTCTCTCTGTCAGCAGGCAGAAAGGGTGATGTCCGTCAGGAACAGCCATCAGCTGGCGGCTTCGGTGTGGAGGCCGATGCCGTATCTGGCTTTCGATCAAGTCAACCATGGCCGTCCGACTATCCGCAAGAACAGTCGGAGGATGACGATGATGCGGAGGAATCAAAACTACCGATGCGGCCATCGTATTCGAATATAGCGAAAGTGGGAGTACCCGCCATGGGCTCAAGTGTTCCAAGTGCGAATCCCGATGACTCTGTTGTAAAAGTGGATGATACACCACTTTGCCCCTTTGCTATGCAAGGGATATGTCGATTTGGGGACGAGAAATGTCGATATCGACATGGACTGACTTGCCCAGTGTGCTTGAAACAATGTCTGGATCCGGATGGCAGTGCGGAAGAGCATGAAGGTGGGGCTTTCAATCTTTGCATGCTCGTTGAAGACCGAAACACTCAAGTGGCTATAAAGCACATATGATACTTTGTCACAGTAGAATGGAGCAAAAAGAGCGGGTGAATGAAGATATTGATTGTGTAGTATGCATGGAGAGCGTGCAAACAAAATCTGACTCGCGGTATGGATTGCTCAGTAAGTGTTAAGAAAAGAGTGCTGTTGAAGATCTTCCGAACTGGCAACTCAATCCGTCCTCAAGATTGCGATCACTGTGTGTGCTTAAGCTGCATACGACAGTGGCGCAGCAATCAGGGAATGGATACTTCAAAGGTGAGCTAGCTGTCAAAGTGTTTTCTGATTATTGTCACTCATCCTGTGGTGTGCAGTCCTGTCCAATTTGCCGCACAATTACCCATTTTGTCACGCCGTCGTCCGTGTGGCCCCGGACACTTGATGAGAAGATGGCGATTATCGAGGAGTACAAACTAAAGCTAAGGTAAGGCATTTGAATTGCATGTTTGTAAGATGAAAGCTAAAAGATAATTGGGATGTGGCCATTAGCACAATTGATTGCAAGCACTTTGACTTTGGTCAAGGCACATGTCCATTTGGCACTTCGTGCTTCTATCGGCACGTTGGCCACGATGGAGTAGCCGAGGAAATAAAGTTGCGCAAAGTAATAGGACAAGAAGATGACCTGCGTATCGTCAATACTCCAAAACTTGCCGATTTTCTGGAACTATATGAGAACCGCCGTTAACAACTCGTAGCATATGTAAATAATTTTTAGGCAATTGTAGATAATCTAATGCAGGCAGATTCCTTCCTGTAGATGAACCCATCAAAGGGTTATAAATCTTACCTTAATATCACTACCTTTCTTCAAATTTGGATCATCGGTTCGCGAATGTGCCTAAAAATAACCTGCCAGACAATATGAGCTCGGTTCTGGAAATATCATGGGATCATAGAACAACAACCCTATGCTTCACTTTTGCGTTGCCCTTTCTGACTGAGCGTTAGCACGTTTCATACCATCGCATACTATATTTCCTCTGCATCACGACGAACTCAAAGGGATAGCGGACACTTTAATACCCCATACCCGAAATGAGCACGGCCGTCGACGCACTACCCTTGTCGAAGAGTTCCGATGCTCTACCTGAAGGGCGCATTATAGAGGCTCGACCTAGCAAGGGACCGTTAGATTTATCATCAATTCCACGAAGCGGTTCAGGACTGCCGTCACAAATACAACAGTCAGAAGGATCCAATCGCATCAGCAATCCGATACGAGCGATAAAACCACTTGTGATTCTCTGGTGCGTATTTGACCAGGTCGAAGAGACAGGATGTGCAATTTGGCTGACTTTGATGGCATCCTATACATACCCTAGGATTACCAAAGTCTTGCAACTAGGTGGAGAGACTCTCGAAGTAACCCAGGATGACACAATATGGAATGAGCTGCGATATGGACAACTTCCTTGCAAAGCGCTCAACGCTCTTTCTCCTAAAACTGTGCGACATATCAATTCCGAAAGAAGTCCAATGGCAGCCCTAGAAAATCTCGCGGCATTCTCTACTGGTTTGTGTGTAGAGCTTTTAGCAGTAGGGAGGAAGGGTCGTTTTTCCACTGTTCTAACATGATGAATCTGAAAGGGCTAACAACATTTGGCATCAACAAGACTGGTTCCTTCCGGCCAATGGAATTTGTCAACGCGAGTCCAGTTGGCGATGAAGGAATGGTAAAGGCTCTAGCTGCATTAGCGGTTCATGTAGCATCTTCGATGCAGATATCCGTCCCAGATGTGCCCATCGATAGAATACGATATCTCTTGGAAGGTGGGGACGAATGTGAACCAGCATTGTTGAATGGAGCGTATGCCGCAGACCAAATTGAGGATGCCGAAGGGCAAAATGGGCGAAATGGAAGCCAGGACTCATTGGAGAGATTACTAGACAAACTTAAAACTGTGGAAAGTAATCAATCTCGTGTCTTCCGACGGGCTGCAACGGCCGAACTAAAGCTGGTAATCGCCTGATGAGCGATATAATATGAAATGTGAACGATATCTGAATTCTCCTCCTAATTTAGCGACACACTATCCGCGGAATAACAGACCCCTCTTACCGACAGCAAGAATCAGCTACCGAAGATGCAAAGGAGGCGATACAAAAAGCAGACTCTCTAGCGGATGAACTCATTTCCACGATCGGCAGATTACTGCAAAACGTCAAAGATCTTGAAACATCACAGCAGAATATTTTAGGGAAGGTGGGGAATCTAGCGCTTGCAGAGAGAATAGCCACGATCGATGAGGAAGTATCGTCTTCGGCGATGGACTTTGGGATGCCAATTCCACGGCGAGCAATGTCAGTTATTACCGACAGCGATAGACAGAAGTCGCAGAGTTCTATCTCCCTTGCCTCCGAACCTAGCTTTGTTGATGCCTCCAAAACCCGAATGTCGATCGACTCGGCGGCACCCGCGGCATCACCAGGCCCACCAAAGACGATGTTTTCAAAGCTCCCACCAGAGGTGGCAGGGGCAAATTTACCCAAGCCGGAGCTCATGCGTCTATCAGCTGTTTACGAGCTTATTGAAACAGAAGCAGACTACGTTCGGGATCTTTCTCTAATGATTAATGTAAGCGTTTCGTATTTAGCGGTATGTTTGTTTATGCCAATGTTGAGGCTTACACCAATACCACCAACTCTATCCTAGTTCCACAAACCGCAGCTACAAGAAACACAATTGCTCACTGAGGAAGAAATACAAGCGCTCTTCTCAAATATCGATCAGTTAGTCCCAGTCAATCAGGTACTTGCAAGTCTTGCATTTGCTTAAAAACTTTGTGCTAACACGAAACCACCAGCAACTGCTTGATCGATTGCATGAGAAGCGAGACACTGATCCGTTCATTCCAGAAGTTGGAGATGCAATCGTTGATGTATCAGAGGTAAACAAATGAGGATATTTAGCATTCTCCTCATGATTATCAATATGTTGCAACAAACTTCTAGTCCTTCAAAGTGTACACAATATATTGCGGCAATTATCCTGAAGCTATGAAACTCGTCCACAAACTACAAGCCCGACCAGATTTGAAAGAAAAGTTGGAGGTATGAAAGATCCGATCTTGCAGCATTGTTAGAACACCGATTTTAATATCCTCTCTAATTCAGACTATGATGAACAGTCAAGAGGGGCGAGGGTTGAGTCTCGAATCATTTCTGGTATGAGACTTGAATCGCCGTAGTGCTTGCTTAGAGGTGAAGCAACTAACGGTCTATGAATCACCAGATTAAACCTGTGCAGCGGATATGCAAGTAAGTATATTATGACGGTGCTTGCTTACACCATAACGCTAATTATTCTTTGTCGAAAGGTATCCTCTGCTCATTCGGGTACAGACAGTGTTCATAATGTTAGGATTTATTTCCGATACTTACCAACTGGTGCTGTTTATAGGAGCTGCAAAAGCACACAGACAAGCTCAGCAAAGACACAATCTCGCTTAATCTCGCTATGACAAAGATCGAAAGCGTCGTAGCACTTGTAAACGAGTACACCAGACAGTTGGGCGAACGCGAAAGGATTGCAGCCTTGCAAGGACGAATTGACTCACCAACGGTAAGCGGACAGTCGAGGTTGCTGTCAGTGTCCTATCGGTTCTAACCTGGATGCCAAAATGCTTTTATAGCCTCTCGGGCTGCAGGACAAGAAGCATGTGCGTGATGGACCGTTGGCACGAGCTGTCAATGGCAAACCGAGAGAGAGATATGCACTTCTCTTCACGGACGTTCTGCTTGTTTGCACTCCTCTCAAGGGCGGGCGCTATGTTCTAGAGTCGGTGTATGACGTTGCAGACCTGGCACTCAAGGTTGATGCGAAAGGAGGTGGGTCTCGAAAAGCTGTTGAGCCACGTTCGTTACCTGGCTGATACACATATTTGCAGAGGGGGTACCGAAGGGGATGAAGCACGGCTTTCAAATAACTGGAACAGCAGATCGAAAAGACTTGATTTTCGCTGCAGCATCGGAGGATGACCGTCAAAAGTGGATCGATGCTTTCAACACTGCCATAAAGGTTGCAGCAGAAGAGTCACGAAAAGCAGACAACATCAACAAACGCATGTCAACGGGTGCCTTCCTCGCCCACCAGTTCAATTCCGCACAGGACGACTCAGATCGAGGGAGTGTGCGTCCTAGCAGTTGGTCCATGGGAATGGGTGGTAGGCGACCAGTATCGCGAGCAGGAAGCACACTCGGAGTAGGCGGATCATTGAGAGGGACGCTCAAAGGATGGGTACGTCGAGCATTGTTTATGTGGCAGGAAGCAAATTACATTTACAATCTTCCTCTCTCAGGGTACGCTGCGAAGAAAAGACGTAGACTTTGCGAATCTGAGTGTAAGTTATGTGATTGGAAAATCTGAGTCCGACATTTTTCTGACATTGCTCAAAATGTAGCAGGGTTCAATAGATGTTGGACCAAATGCTGGCTATTCAGAAACGGTAAGGCGGCAATGATGTCACCCACTCCTCATTGAATGATGATTGAATGCCTTTGCCTTTGTCTAGGACATGGGAGGATATGTGGAGCCTGATATGGTGGATATTGGCGGCCAAATATGGAAGAAAGCTACATCTGCTATGGGAACGACTTACTACTAGTAAGCAAACTGTCAGCACCATATGAGCTCTGTTTATGGCTTCTGACGCTGTCCGCAATTTTCAAACACAGCAACACGGATACAAAGGAAGCGATGTGGCGACTACCGGAGAACTACATCATTCTCGACCCAGAGACTGGCAAACCGTTTCCAGAAGATTCGGAAAATGCAGAGGAAGTTCCAGATGAGGGTGAGGACGTAGACTCGGGAGATGAAACGGAACTTTCCGGAGTAGAGTCAGTGGAAGGGTATCCCGACTGGCGAAAAGTAGACCGCGGAGATGAGCAGATATACTATTTCAATGTCATAACCCAAGAGACAAGCTGGACGCCGCCAAATGGCGAGAATAATACGGAAAGTGGGGTAGCAGATACATAGGCAGTATTTCAAAGATGTGTACCGAATGTCAATAGGAAGCTTTTGCTGGCAAATGTTTTTGAATGACCTGTCCGTATATTGCGCTTGATTTCTTTAAAGCCGATGCTCTGGGTTGCCGTTGTATCATAATAAAAATGGCATACGGCTAGCATTTGAAGCGGTGCCAGATTAACGGCATCGACATATATTGAGGATTGCGTTTGCAGATGTTTCTCACTACATAGGCATCTTCCTTGGCTGTAAGATACAGGAACGCATATGTAGATATCATAATGGTGAAAGAAATGTCCGATAGCTTTATCCGGTATTGATAAATCGGAGATTTTTAGATCTAGTTAAATTAAAGCAAGAATACCCTACCGCATCCTTCATTCAATATTAATAAGTAAGAAAATGAGTATCTAAGGTGCCCGGGGGCCAGACGAACGGCAGTGGTAATTTCCAAAGAGAGAGTGCCCCCGTTCAGCTAGTGGCACTGGCTCAATTTCCTTGCTCTCGCTCACCTTCCCGTCACCACTGCCACTCCTTTCGAACATGGCTACCACTCTGCAAACGTTGCCGGCGGCCGACCTCCGCTCAAGAATGGCACACAGAAGCAGCGGACTGCAAGGTCTCAAAATGCCGAAAATAGTAGGATCGCTGGGAACGCTGAGCATTCCTTCAAATGGAGAAGTGAGGTCACGTAAAATGGATGACGCCCGAATGCCTCCGATACTTCATCATGAAGAAGATGCTGCAAGGCACTCTCAGAGTACTTCACAACCGACTGGGAAGTCAATAGGAACCCCGAAGATGCCTGCCATAATAGGGATTGGAAAGCCGAGAAAAAGTGTGCGATATCAACTTCCCCATGGGTCTCACACACCCGACGATGACATCAAAAAACCATCCACCACAACGTATCTATATCATCCATCACCACAATACAGGAAACACGGCCACACGGGCGAGACAATGCCTCATTTGCAGGGAACGGTGCCAGAGTCCTCAGTCGCAAGAAGAAAAGATAGTTTACACGCTGGCGGGTACCAGGATCATAGTGGTCTGCACAAAATGCCACCAATACATCTTGATAACATTCATCGAGAATTAATATTCTCAATAACTGGAAGAATATTCGGCTGCGGTAAGTTACAATGTCCGCAAGAAAACATTGTCAATCTTGACCAATTTCTTTGCTTGAATAAAGGTGGAGATATCAGAGCCGCAGGGGATGGTCACCTTATATATGCGGTTCAAAAAAGGCGTACGGCCCAGTTATGTAGCCTGTTCCTACATGATGTCAATGGACGAGCCGTTTGGAAGATCGCACAGCGTCCTGGGGTAAGTGAACAAAGAATCTCGGTAACCTTCGAGCACGGGTACAAGTAATTCTTTCAATGCATAGTGTTGTGGAATGAATTACGATCTCTATGGACGAGGTCTGGCAACAGCGTGTGGAGGGGCTGGGTGGATCTTACGTGGAATGATTGACAGGATCTCTGCCAATGCTTGGTCTCCCAGGTTAAGCCTGAAGTGCAGAGCAGGCACCGTTGTGATGATCGGTGAGTCTGCAATGCATTTGACCTGGCCGCATACTTTTTAAAAAATCTCCTGCCCTTTTAGGAGACTTGTTTGGTCAGTCTTTCCGGTTTCAAGACGCTGGTTCGTCTCGCAACGTTGGCACATTTGCTCTTCAGACTGAGTGTTCAGTCTCACCTCACCCGAAATCTGCCCCTTCTACTCCGCAAACTTCACGGCATGATCGAGAGCAATCGAATCTGGCACGGAGGTCCCTTCGAACTGCACCCACTTCGAATGTACATTGTTCTGAAAAACTGCCTTCCGTACCGTCCTTCCCAGAAAAATGGGAGCTCCGGGTAGATGTCTCTTTGACTGCTGGAAATTTAGACTCTATCGATAGACCGCGAACATCTTCTAGGCGCAATCAAAAGAAAAGCTCCGGTTCAAGGCTGTCGTGCGTTTTGCCAACCGAAATGTTTGTGGCTGCATCATTGATTGTGCAGCATTTTATGAAAGACGAGCGAGCTATAGCGAATGCCAAACATAGGGCACGCAAAGAGTGGGGGGTTCGTGGATGAGGGGCGTTGGTGCGCGATGCCCGCAGACTATGGCAGTGTGCGTCCACAAGTGCCGTACATAGGAGCACCTCTGCACTAGGGACAGCTAGAATGTAGATTGATAGGAAAGTAAGGATAGCTGATATGGTGCAGCCAGACGAAGTTGTGCATCCGATTAAGTACATTAGGTAGAGGGATACATATAATCCCGTCGACAATAGTTTGGCTGGCCTTACAGAGAATATACCGGTCTATGCAGTTCCTGCCACAGATTTTGAATCAAGAGATTTAGACATCTATTCTTCTTCAGTACTCTCATGGCCATGACCTAAGCGTACTCCGTCAGGCGCATCGTTTTCATCACTTGGGCCGCCTGCCCTCTCCTCCGTCAGCGGATTCAAGCGGAACGATAGATGTACTGTTCCCACAACGGTGGACGATGTAGGAGAATGGGAGTCTTTCACCGGAATCGTTAGATCGCACTCCTGTTCAATGACGTTCTTGAAAGGAGAGGACGCTCAGTTAGTAGCATATTGGATAGGCAGTGTTCGTCCACTCACCTCTCCATCGAGAAAGGGTTTCGTGGACACACGGCAAAGACCAATGTCAGTTCTCTCGGCTATTACTGGCCTCCAGTTCGCTTCGAAAGATGGAGAAGGTGTCAGGTACAAGCGAAATGCATTTAACAGTTCTAGTGTATTACCTGCTTCATCTTCTTTGGCGCCCTTCCTCCCTTTTGCAGCCTTGGCAGGTTTTCTTCCAGCTTGGCTCCCTCCTTTTTTACCTGACAGGGAAGGACGTCTAGAGGTAGCGGCTGAACTATCAGGCCGGGTACTGGTGTCGTTCTCGTCAGGTGCGAGGTCATCCTTCCTGACGTAGGCAACTCTATTGCGGCTGAGTATGACAGTTACCCCATCTACAAGGAGTTAGCAGTGTACCGTGGACCCCAACAACAACAGAGCAGCGTCTCCACGTACCCCACAGAGCATCCCGAAGCTGCTTTCCGATGGGAAATTCAATCTCTTGCACGAAGGCAAAGTCTACAAGATGAACTTCCGGCTCGGGTGGTTGCACGTCTCCACCTTTCCCCTTACCGGATTTATGCGGCTTATCTGGTGGCTGGTGGACACGCTGCGGGGGGGATACAGCGGGGGTGGATATCGCATAGCCATTGAACCTTTCAAGTACAATTCGTAGCTGGAAAGTGTACTCGTCCAGTGGCTGCTTTGGATCCTCGGGTATAACCGATTCCGGTATAGAGAACCCGGTAAGAGTATGAATACCGAATGATATACACACTGTGTGGGTAAAGTTTAGTACCCTTTGTTCAGTCCACTGGAATCATAATGCAATACCTTCGTCGCGTGCGTCCTCCCGAACTATCCTAAGCGACGTGGTCCTCTCTTCGGCGGTCACCCATGTATCATCTAATGAAACAAGCCCTGGAAGGCGCGAAATTGCGGACGCTCGATATTTGGGAAGAAGAAAAGCTGGATTTCCCTTGAAAAGGTAAAGACATTAATCGCAATCCATGTCTCGCTGTTGCACGCCTGGTGCAATTCGCGCTTACCGTAAGTGCCAGAATCTTTAGCGAGGGTAGTTGCTCAAGAACTTCAAGTGTCTCGTTTAAATCGGATATAGCATTCCAGCTGGCGTCTAATGACTTCAAGCTCGGTGGCAACCAACCCAAAGTTGTACTGGGTTTTGAACCAGACAAAGGCGAAAGTTTTCTGGGACGTGGGTTTGCAGAAGACGATTTGGGCGGTGACTCGGGGCGAAGTTCAACATCCAAAAAACTGGCAATAGAGTTATACCCAATACCAAGGTGGACCAATTGCTGAAGGGCCGAGACATTCGGGCACTTTGACAGTCTTTGCAACATGCATGTGAGTTAATTAACGGAGACGTGTTTTCAGGTTCTGCTTTGCTTGCTCACCGGTTAGCATTCAGATGCAGTATTTGTAACCTTGTCGGGAGACTATTTACATGATCGATCCAATTTCCAGTTAAACTCAACTCCTCCAAATTTCGCATCTTCATGATGTCCCTGTCAATGTATCCTATCTTCCTATCATGCAATCGTAATGTGCGGAAATATCCTAGTATGGACTCTTTACTGAAGTCCATTTGCGATGCTGTTCTCTTCTTGCGTGGCCACTGCCGCTGCGACATGTAAAGTTTCTTAAGAGTCGGCGCCTCGTCACTCCACGAAAGATCCGCTAGATATTCGTTTGCAAACTATGAGCGTCTCAGTTGATGTGTCGACCAAGTCTACGCTTTACTATCACGTCCTCACCTTCAGCCCAGGGATCTACTTCTGGATCTAAGAATATTCCCTCTTCTTCCTCATCCGATACGTCCGACAATACAAGCTGTGCCTTATGATGCGATTTATTCCAATTCATCTTGTGCTCGGTTTTTGGCAGATGCTTCTTTCCAGGGTCTGAACCTGGTAGAGGCGGTAGATGTCCATCGAGGTAGGTAGTATGACAGTCATGTCCACACTCTACAATATTCAAAGGTTTGATACTGCTGGATGATTTTGAAGTGGAGGTTTTGCCAGGCGAGGTTCGTTCCTGGGGCACTTCCGTGATTTCATGTTTGTGCACAATCGGGCGAATCCCTGTAGTTTCATCTAAAATAGCCCATAATGCTTCTGATGCGCTAATATATTCTTGAAGCATTTCTCTAGCAAAGTAGGTCGTCAGTATCACGGATAGCGGAAGTCAAATTGACGCGGACGTAAGCAATACGATCACGAGATTTTAGGCGAGAGCTCATGTGCTTACTCTTTTAGCTAACTTCCTGGAACGTTCATGGCTGCAAGGTTAGCGTCCTTTCATTTGCTTTGTTGTCCAGATTGCGCAGTACTGGATGCCCCGTAGAGTTGCTCTGCGAATAGAGAACATGAAAATCGAACAGCGGACTGTAAAACCGACTATTATACATGTGCATTTTTAGTACAGCATTTGGTCGAAAAAGCAAAACTACTACCCAATAGTTTCCATTCTTTCAAGAAATTGGATCATTCATCGCTGGGGACGAATTTGCGTCAACCGCATGCATTGACATCCAGATGTTAATGTCATCTCCAAGAAGTGGTCGAAAGCTCTCCAAGTTTTGGAAGAATCGCCTAAACTTTGCCTTTAATCTATTTTGAGCAATTCGCGGTTTCCAACACAACTGTGCTTCCACGCCGTATATTGCATGCATCCGGGTGTCATTTGCTTTTGCAGTACGGGTTGACCTACCGAATGTGTCTACATAACACATTTGTAGAAACGCGGAAGCAGTCGAGTAGATGACTGGGGTAAGTCTTGGAATCCAACGGTTTCTTTCATGCGCACATTCTTATCCTTGGCTGCTTCAAAGAAAACAGTCAGCTTGGGAACCGCCACCTCAGAAGGCAGTGCTGAAAATCATATTACTATAAAACACAACCAATGTGAGACTTTGATTTTGCGCCAGAGATTGTATAACATAGTGCTATGGCGCTTGCACTCGGCGACTGAGCGAAAGAATTCCAGATACTCTTTGGTGAAATGGTAATCATTATTGTACACTATCCAATATTTCTTTCAAACAAAACGATACTCGACAACAGGCCCCTCTGTGTTCTTGCAAAAGCAGTCGTGCGGCTGGGGACGCACCATAGGCCCATTAGCCCGCTTCGGTTTCCCGAAGACTGATGCCAAAATAAAATGTGGATCGAAAGTGTCCTATGGGAGCCAAAAGAAAAAACAGCCTAGCCCCTCCAGCACGGCCAAGTAGCCGCTCCAGCAGGACAACGTAGCTTCCAGCACGGCTTCACCCCTCACGACTGTATCGCTCCACAGACCAGAAAGGTCCAGCGAGAACGGCAACGCCGCTCCAGCAGAACAGAAAACCAAAATCCCTCCAGCACGACCAAGTAGTCGCTCCAGCAGGATAAATAGAGGCCTTCCAGCACGATACAATCGCTCAAACAGGACGAAGTGACGCTCCAGAAAGCCAGAAAAAAGAAGAAAAACAGCCTAGTCCCTCCAGCACGGCAAAGTAGCCGCTCCAGCAGGACAACATAGCTTCCAGCACGGCTTCATCCCTCACGACTGTATCGCTCCACAGGCCAGAAAGAGCATAAAACCAAAGTCCCTCCAGCACGACCAAGTAGTCGCTCCAGCAGGACAACTAGAGGCCTACCAGCACGATACAGTCGCTCAAACAGGATGAAGTGACGCTCCAGAAAGCCAGAAACACAAAAACCTAGTCCCTCCAGCACGACACTGTCGCTCCAGAATGCCAGAAGTTCTTCCGGGACAGCTCTTAACACACGAGCCGCCCCAAGCAGAACAAAAGACCAAAGTCCCTCCAGCACGGCAAAAGAGCCGCTCCAGCAGGACAACTAGAGGCATTCCAGCACGACACCGCCGCTCCAGAAGGCCGTAAAAGATCTTACCAACGGGACACTAGCGCGCTTGACTGGGATGGAAAGCAGAGGAAACGCGAGCTGGGCGCGGCTTTTATAGACGCGCTGGGCCGACTGCGCCATACGCGAAAAAAACGTGCAGCCAATCAGAGGTAGGGTGAATCACAACACATGTCACATGACTTACAGCTGAATCCGGTCACGAGATCTCTGGTGAGTAATCGCAGATCCCAATTGAATACGCGTACGACATTGCCATACCTATGCCTACCACAATGCCACATTCGACCAGCACCGGTATTAACAACAGTAATTTACAGGATGCCGTACTATCAGAGGCCATTGCTATTGTTCGAGCAGTCCCAAATACGCCCGATATGCAGAGACTCGCCACTGCTTTAACAACAATTGCCCTTGCTTTGGAAGGTTGGAGATCACTGAGGTTGGGAGATCACCGCCACTACTATATCTCATACATGGCCATATAGGGGTGTCTGGAGACAACGCTCGGGACTTGATAGCAAGATACGACCTTTCTCCAGAACCATTTATAGCCCTCCTTCCTCTCTCGCATATGGATGATTCCGTCCAAAGAAACATTGCCAAAATCATACAACGATTACTACAACCACTTTCTTATCAAGAAATACAAAGTAGATTTGGGGTAAGTAGGACATGGTGCAGCGGCAAATATCTGTTGGTGAGCGAGGTCTCTCACCCCGCACTAGCAACTCATCATTGCGGGCCTTGATGATCCACGCGGACCATTGCGACATTTAGCCTTATCGGCATTAGAGAAGGCTACAGACGCAGATGCTACGATTAACATGTTGGTGCGTACATCTTATGCATAAGCCGGAGTTGGGCGGAACCAGGTTTGCTGACGAGATAGATAGATCCAATCCCCGTTCTTCGTTCCTGTTTTGGAGAGTCTTGCTTTTCCTGATGTTGATGTGGCCCTACGGGTGGAAAACCTTCTCTTCAAGGTGATACTCGTGTGATGCTTAGCTTCTACCGTATTGGATCTCATGTGCTTGTAATGACCTGCAGATTGCTCATTCGGAGACGGGCCTCCAAGCTATTCTTGGGGACGACGCTCTGTCAATCCTTAACCAGCTTCTTGCGGAAAGCGAAACCGTAAAGTTTAGAGTGTATGACCTCGCGATGCGAATATGCACAATATCCGATGAGGTGCTGCATCAATTCCAAAGTTCCGATCTTTTGAAGTCAATGACAGAAGAACTGCACTCTGATGATGTGCTGTCTCGATTGAATGCGGTGCAAATATTTACCAAGGTCATAAATCATGGCGTTGCTGCATTCCTCTCTTAGTTCGCTGAATAAGGTGAACGATCAGCTGTCGGAAAGTGAATGCGGAAACCGCTTTCTACACAATGCAAACGTACTCGTGCAACTCGCTGGCATACTTGAAACCGACGCCGGGGACATTGACGACATTCTTGTCAAATCTGCCATCATCAAGTTCTTTGGTCATGTCGCTGCAACCAAGGTACGAGCATAATTTTATAGCAAAAGCCAGCGCCTCAGAATCCTTAGTGCTCTATCCCATGTATCAGCCCGCCGATTTCGTCGCCATGCATTCATCGTTGGGGATTTTGGATTTGTTCGACCGGCAGCTCAACAGTGATCGAAAAGAACTGGCGGTATGACGCTGCCGCGTTGCGGGATACTGAAGGGGACATGGTAATAACATTTAGGCTTGCGCGCAATAGGAGCCCGTAATCCTCGCAATTGGAAACATTGGATCGAGTGCTGAAGGGCTGGTGGCACTTGACGAGCAGAAAACTCTGCTGAATGATTTTATTGACCAAATCAACTCTACCACGGGGGACCTGAAAATAACAGGATTACAGTCTGCCTCTTGCTTGATTGGTGTGAAATCAAGCTCCGGTGCTGGTTTATCTGCAATCACACATCGAATATTCCTGGGCATTGCAGGTATGCTATTGAAACTGAACTTGTCGTCTGCTACCAACCACTCAATGCTCTTTGCATGATTGGCACTGCAGGAGAAGCAAACCCATTGCAAAATCTGATGCGTTACGCAAAGGCAGCATTTGAAGAGAACCGAGTAGCTGCATATGCAATTTTCAAAGGCATGGCGATGCATGACTGGGGTCTGCGTGAAATCAACTACAGCTATGATTTTGTATCGTTTTTAATGGACCGGCAGATTGAGCCATCAGTGACTGGCAAGGTGTGTTCGGTGTCACCGTGCGTCAGAGTTTGCAGCTGACCAAATTGTTCACTTGCTCTCAAAGGAATGGAAGTACAGCGTGGTGCAAGCGATATGTTCCAATCCTAATGCGAATGAGATACTTGATGCAAACATTATCGGTCGATTCCAACGATATGTACGAGAAGGTCCGTTTTACAAGGGGGTGGAGCCTGTGGTTGCTCTGGAGTCTGGATAGATAGCATATTCTATAGTGACACGAGTGTCGGCTCTGTGTGGTTTTAGGTAACTCCTTTGCAGCGTTCAGTTTAGAAGCAATTGCATTTCCTGTGGTACAAAACCAACGCTTGGGTGCACACGGCGCCACATCTTTTTTCCCTTTTGGGATTCCATCGCTGGCGTCCCATCGAATGATAAAGCTTATATGCTAAAGACAAGAACAACAGCAGCAATGGCGCAACTGGCCAGGTGGATCTGCCCCCAAACTGGGACAAGCGACCAGAGATAAACATGAGCGTCATATCGTAGCACCAAGACGCGTTCCCACCTGGCCAATTACTTGCAGATATTCTCTTGGCTCCCCTTGCACTACATGCGTCAAAGGTAGCATTTGCATTCATCCACGATCCGTTGACCCAAGCAAAAAATTACGACCATGCTTAACTTGCGCTACTGATGGACATTTTTTTTTTGCGAGAGTGCGGCCCTAATAGTTGTATGCAAAATAAAAAATAAAGGAGGAAAAGCGGGAAAAAAAGCCTACTGATAAGACACATGCGCCCAAAACAAATATCTTCCTGCAGCGTCACACTTTTGTCGTCCAATGTGGAGGTTCGTAAACCCGCCTTACCCTTTTTTGCAGTCTTCATCAACCATCGTATTGGGCAAGTGATGTGTTCCCCAAGGGTCATTTTCAAGCGTTTATATCCACACCCACTTTCCCGGAACGTCAAGTATTTGATGAAGTGACTGCGCCTGAGGGACGCGCCTCGAAACCGTAAATTGTGGGGGGAAAATGATCGGAGGCAAAGCGGAGAGTTTGAAAGGTCACACTCATCGTTTTTTTTTTTTTGTTATCACCTTCTACGAGCACAAATCGGCACGTTAGTTGTGGAAAGATTGCCTTTTCTGATGAAAAAAGTTAACCTGCTGACTGTCTCCCGCATTCGTCGGTGATCGGGAACTGGATCCAAAGATAGCAGTAGTGGGGGAATTGGCAAGATTTAGGTGTAGAGCCGCGCGTTCGGCGCATATGCGCAGATGTGATGGGGGGAGTGGGGGCCCATCGGGGTGGGTGACGTTTAGATTGCAACTACCAAATCCGGCTGATGGCGGCTTCAAGTGGTTGGACTCACTAAAAGCCCCAGCTAAGCGGTCCACTTTAGAAAAGAAGACTTAAAAGCAGCTTTGGATTTTTTTTTACCCCGGACTTTACCCCACAAAACTGCTGTTTCTGAATTTGTATCGGTTGGCAGGCCAATCGAGCTCGCCTTCCTTTTCTTCCCTCATTACCTGAATCAAGACCTCTTTCTTAACCATTTTCCAAACATGGACGACAAGATTAACACATCACCCGTGGAGTATGCTCCTGAAGGGTCAAGGGTGAGGCGATTTATTAGTAGAATGGTGCCAGCTATAAGCAGCTAATTGGATCTCTAATAGCACCGGCGGCATCCCTTTGGTCCTGTCCACAGTGCCGTCATGTCAACGTCAATCGGACGACGTTTTTTCGGCACCAAAAGCATCGACCGTCTTCACGCGCAAATGGACCAAGTTGAATACAAACGTACACTCACTGGTCTTGATTTGACTCTGCTTGGTATTGGCGCTATTATCGGGGCAGGTATCTTTGTGCTGACGGGTACAGCCGCAAAGGATCATGCTGGTAGGTGTTTTCTTAATACCTTTTTTGCGATGCGATGCGACACGTCTCTCTAAATTGTATGACTCTCTTACAGGTCCCGCCTTGATCATTTCCTTTATAATCGCGGGAACTCTATGTGGCCTTGGTGAGATAATCATGATTGCTTTATAATGCGTTGCATAATTATGGCTAATATTATCCAAAAGCATCAATGTGCTATGCAGAGTTGGCTTCCATGATCCCCGCCTCTGGCAGTGCATATTCATGTGAGTTTTCTAGTGATCGGTTCACGTAATCAAAATCATATAGTTGATCAATCATTGCGCGTCACTGAATAGTCACCTACGCGGCAATGGGCGAGTTTTTGGCTTGGATTGTTGGATGGGACTTGTAAGTATTCATGCGACTTACTTTTGCGTGCGCAAAGGTGAACCGTACTTACATGGTATAACCACTCTAGGATGCTTGAATAGTGAGTGTGAATTCAAGTTACTGGACATGTTTGACGTAATTTCTTAACTCATACGCCGTCTGCTACAGCTTGGTCGGAGCTGCGACAGTAGCTGTTGGATGGTCCAGCTATCTTGTAAAGTTCATTGACGATGTCACTGACTCGGATACTTCAGTGGATGCCAGATTGGTCAACGTAAGGATCTGGCCGTTGTAGTTATCATGTTAAATGTAGAATGCTAAGCCTCATTTCATTACAGGCGCCATTTGTCTGGCTGGAATCTGGCGCTGAATACAAAGGTGAAAAGGTTGATTCAGCGCACTTTGCAAGGAATGCTGTCAAATGCGGTGCCGAATGGTGCTACCCATGGATCAACGTAAGTATAACTACCTCGCAACTGTATGTGACGAATCCGCTCACACATTTACGACTGGCAGCTACCCGCTATCGCTATTGTTGTTGCAGTCACCACTCTTCTGGTCGTCGGTATTAAAGAATCATCGCGAGTCAACAACTTATTTGTCGTCGTGAAAGTTGTCATTACGTTGATGTTCATCTTCGCCGGTATGTATAATTCCCCAGCCACAAATGAACGAGAAGAAAACTGATCCATTCTTATCTGCGCAGGTATCAAGTTTATCAACCCCCAAAACTATTCACCATTCGTCCCTGCACAAGAAGGACCAAAGAAATACGGAGTCCCTGGTATCTTTGCTGGCGCGGTCACTGTCTTCTTCGCGTACATCGGATTCGACGCTGTCTCCACAACTGCGCAAGAAGCAAAAAGGCCCCAACGTGATCTCCCTATTGGTATTATTGGATCTCTCAGTATCTGCACCATTTTGTACATTGCCGTTAGTGCCGTCATGGCGGGTCTCCGACCATACTCTCTGGTAGGTGCTCACTGCATTATTGGTACTTGAAAGACATGAAAGCTTACATTGGTCAATTGTATTTTAGATTGACCCCAAAGCACCCGTATCGACCAACATTTTCGAGGCAGCCAAGGCGCAGGGTGTCAACTTGCGATGGTTCACCATCATTATCTCCTTTGGTGCTCTTGCTGGTTTGACTTCTGTCATCCTTACCATGTTGCTGGGTCAACCTCGTATCTTCCACGCCATGGCCGAGGACGGTCTTCTCCCAAAGACGTTTTCACGCCTCCACCCTCGATTCAAGACCCCCTATGTCACTACCATCACCACTGGAGTTATCTGCGCACTGTTTGCTGGTTTGCTTCCTGTAGATATCTTGGGCAATTTGACTTCCGTCGGTACCTTGTGTAAGTGGACGGTGATTGCATTTTTGTAAATGTATTATTCTTTATTTATACATCTTGTCTTTAGTGGCCTTCTTTTTCGTCTCACTGTCGACCATCGTCTTGAAGATTACCGACCCAGACCGGCCCAGAGGGTTCAGTGTTCCCGGCGGCAAAATTGGCGGATTTGTGATTCCAGCATGTAAGTCCCACTCTGTGCCTGCCTCATTCTAATATTTGCTAATACGGAATCTTCCCTGCAGTATCCGCCGCATCCGTGATTGCTCTACTCACCCAAACCACTCCTGCAAGTATCGCTCGTGTATTTATCTGGATGGCGATCGGTGCCGTCATTTACGTTTGTTACGGTTACCGACACTCTGAGCTGCGAAAATCTTACGCAAATGACGAAAAGTACAGCACCGAAACACTGTAGACTAGTTTCCAGATTTGATCGCAAGTTGATATGAAATTCTACGAAGATGTGAAATTGTTTGTAACCCAGTAGAGTATGCCCATCGCAGGGCATATGCAGCAGCTCCTGCTTTTTTGCTACTAAATGTGTGATGTGGTTGGAAAATGTAAAATTTTGGTTCCGCAAGTCGGGCGCAAGAACGCTTTTGATCTCGTTAAGACAACTGTAGGATTGGATCAATCATATCATATCTCTGTCGTGGATAGCTCCATCGCCAGTACACCTGTTAGCGTGGCTTCCTCAGAATAGTAATAATATAATCTCGTGCAATAGCCTAACCCTACCTGACAAGGTACGAACAGTCTCACCATTCGTGCAGTATAGAGAGCTGATGCTGTCATGCAGCAGGAAGTCCAACTAGTGAGTATAGTAATGAGACGCATCCCTCAAAGATCTGATCGTAATCCATTTAATGCACAATAGTAACTTACGGGCAAGAGGTTCACCATACATGTAGTGACGAGAAAGAATTGGTATACACATTGCAACCACTAGTGCCCACTATGACAAACGTTCGCAAAGACTCTGTCATGATGAAGAACATATACTCAAAGAACATATACTCCCTTCATTGTCTTTCGATCCAGACCGTAGCATGTCTTTATCTAACCTGCGACTCCCGCTTTACAGACCGCGCCGGTACCGCGCTCCTTAGACAACGTAAAGGGAAACAAACATAAAGGCAACGGAACGGTTGTTAAAAGGAAGCATGACCATAGCTAATGACAAGAGTGACAGTAGTATATATTTACGAAATTGCAAGGACTTTTCTCAAATGCAAATATAGACATTCAATCTATAACCTCAGGACACTTTACGCCACAATAGCGCCCGTATCAAACCAGCCAAGTATCACGCCGAGTGTTAGTCACTCATGAAAGGTCGACTCGTCGACATTCGGTATCTAAATCTGTACATGTGGAGTTTGACATGACTATATCTGGCCCGATTCGCAGCGATAACTTCATTCGACATCGAAGCATGCTTAACATCGTCGCATATACGTGTACCGTCCGTGAACAGCCCGGCAGAAATTTGCGATTGTAGGAAGTTCCTCTTCCTCGATGCAAGTGCCAAGCAACAGGTTAGCGGCAGCCGATTCCGGGATATCGTTTCTTTCATGGGGTATCTTGAGAGTCGATCGTGATATTGAATGACCAGAGGGCGATCTGTGCCTAACGTGCCTTATTGTCGCGCTTCGAAGAAGTCTTGCCGCTTTCCGAATTATGACAGCGAGACAACCGTCTAGTTCCTCATCTTCTCCCACAAGCTTTAAAATGCACTGCTCTAGCTGCTTGTTAATGGCGTCTGAAACCATAAGACGGCGTCGGAGCTCTCTAATTTGTCTCTCTAATTTTGCCTTTGTCAGGGCTGGATCGTCATTGTCATCATCCGTTTCCTCAGAGGTATCAGACTCATCACATGCTATCCTAATACTGTCAGGCTGTTCTCGTGTCTTCTCCCGGTCGGCTCGGGACTGCCGCCGAGTACTGAAAGACGCTTTTCCTTTGACATCTCGAACCGGAGATTTGACGGTGGCAACTTCGACTTGTTCGTTGCTTGCAAATGTTGATCGCTTCGACGGAGTAGACCTGCGGGTAAGTGGTCGGGGTTTTGCTGAAGTCGTGCGCGCGTCCGCTGCCCGCTCATTCGCGGCAGGTGAATTCGGGGTCGCCTTCTTTTTAAGTTCTCGATTTGGCGGGTGGTCGGCCTCAATATTGGCACCGGGAATGATGAGATTACCGGCGGCATATTTAACGCCGCAAGCATTGCATAGCGTGCGAGGTCCCCACGGACCCCTTCTCCATTGTGGCGTTTCTCTTGTTCCGCAAACCACACACCGGTCCTCGCCGGCTCCGGGGGTAACGGAAGCCGTTGGCGATTGTTTGATTCGAGATGGTGAATGGCGTGGCAACGAATCCTTCCGAGCAAAACCAGAGTTATGGCTCTCCAGATTGAGCTTTACAAGCAGGGACCGTGGTTCAGCAGCCTCCCCTGCCGCTGGTTTCTTCTTTGCCCAAAGCTCAACGGCTTCAGCCCGTTTTCTCTTGCCTGTACCAGGCATAGTTTCCAGTTCCGCAGAGTGAACTCCCTTACGAGCCTCTTCGTCGTCCTCGTCCTTTTGGATCAGTGTTGTGCAATTTAGAGATGATTGTGGTTGACCTTGCATATCGGACGACGATAGTCGAAACTCTCCCAAGGGCGACGTGGATCGCCGGCATGAACTTCCGTCAGCTATGGGCGGCACATGGTCTTCGTTTGTTACCTCGACCATTGTGGAAGGCGTCTGATGGAGGGCAATCACAACGGAGGGTTCTTTGAACCTTGCATACTCGGGTGGTGTCGGAGGCATTGAGTTCCGTGAAGGTGAAAAGGCGAGGTGGGCCATCTCAATTGTATGACATAAACTTATTCTTTGGCTAGGTGGACTGCTGGAGAGGCATGCGTCAATACATCTTGGGAAACACCTTGCCGTTCGCCCAGCGACACACAGACAACATTTGTTGGTAACAGCAATCTGCGTAAGATCGGCAATCTTACCCTTTACAAAGTCACCGCAAATGAAGAGCGCTTCTGCGCGGCCAATAAGAAGACAGAATATGTACGTAGATCGCCGAAAAGCTGTCGAATCGAGATGGTTAAAATGGGTGGAGGTTGACAGGCACTCCCTGCCACCGCCGCCTGTTGTCATCACGCGTTTTGGAAGGTCAGCCATAAAAGGCAGCGTCCAGAAGGTACAGACATCTCCCCAGTCGTTTCTTCATATCGTTGTTAAAGGTTACGAAAAGTTTATTAACATGCTGCAGTTGAATAGTCTTTCCTGGTCCCCATCAAGCTTACATCCGGACATGAACGAATAAGAAACCATGGACATGTTGGTTAAAAACGCTAGACATAAGCCATTAAACAGAATCAGGAAGTCTTTGAGCACTGTAAGATGAGGTGGAGGAATACCTGCCGGCTCTTCTACATACAAAGTAAAGAGACTAGGGCTGCAGATAACCCCCTTCAATAGCTTCGATAAGGATAAAAGGGGAGAAAATACACAATTATGCAACGTTGCTGTCAAAGTCTAGTATGCTGTTCGAATGAAGTTCCGACAACGAGACCTATCATGCCCTTTAGAAAATTTAGGACGCTTTCTGCTTTCCAGCAATGGAAATTCCAACCTTTGACGAAGGACTTTGCTGTTGCAGGCCATGACGACAGCCAGCCGCCATCACTGCAATCTAGCGTAAATTTCCCTGAACTCAAGGCCCACGCAACTACATTTGCGGGACCCAGAATTGTGCGTTGATTTCCCCCCGAATGTGGTTGCTGGTTGGCGCACCATTGGCATTGGGTTGGCTACACAGCGTAGCGTAGGCATCGTCGGACTAGGTGGGAATGGGTGGGCCAGTCATTCCGGCAATTCTTGTGCATTACCCTTCTCGCTACACCAAAACGATGGTCCTTTTGGATGTACAAAAATGGATAGATGAAATTGTCCGACATGTGGCTTAGTTACTTGTCACGATCATTTACGTAATACACTATCTACTGTACGCCAGCAGCAGCTGTTAAAACTATTTGATGCCTGGTCTACAAGTGGGTAGTCGTTGGAATCTTTTTAATACCCCCATGGCAGAGCAGCCTTCTGGAGCAGCCATGATACTGTTGGACGTGGGGTGAAGACGAGGGTTCTTTTTTCACTGCCATCGCCAGGATGCTGAGACTCACATGCCTGCGTTTCACAGCTTTTCAAATGGCAAAAACAACAACAAATAGCAAAATAGGTGGAAGTAGCATATCTGTGTCGTCTTTTGCCGTTCTGTGTGCCATTGAAAAAGCTGGCTGGTGACGTTTTGACTCCAAAGCCGTGTGTATCGCAGGTATGTGAGTCGCAGGCATGTGCAAGCCCCAGATCCATCTAGCGGTCAAATACCCAAAATTGGTCGTTTGCCGTTTTCCGCGCCGCCTGCACTAGGAAGAAGCCGGAACTGATATCATTTCAAAAGCCCCGGCGGTTGACTCTTCTCTCCCGTATTTTCACTCTCTCTGCCAAGAGACCCACACGATCAATGACAAAAACGTTCAAAACCTTGTTTCGCACCAATGTTCAGCGAGTACGAGAAATCTTTCGTTGCAGGCCTGCCGCACCTGGCCTGTTGAGGCCCTGTCATGACAAGGACCCCTAACGTGGGATACTGAGCAGAATATTCCTCCCCCGAAGGCACATCAGGGTATAATTGCCGCTGTCGACAATGTAGACAGAAACAATCCAACAGGAATGGTCAGCAACGACTCGCTTATTTATCTGGTTGAAAATGGGCACACCGTGGAGTGGAACGGTACGTTAAACTTGCTTCAGGTGATGTGGTTCAAGAGGTCTTCGATTCATATATGAATCTGTTTTTCTGCCGCCGTGGCCAGAGGACCATGACAGGCTCGCGCCGGCGGGAAGAGATCTAGTCCAAGTTAAGTGCAGATTTAAGTAACGTCGGTAATCATTGGTATCTGAAGTCTTTTAACTAGGTGTGAAAACATCTAAATGAACATGTGAAGCAAGTCGTTCCAGGCGTTGATTACTCTCTGCAGGCCTGGTTCTCCCCTCAAGTGAGGGTTGACTCTCACATCTACTGCTTCCACCACACCCACATTTATTTTGTTCTCATTTTCCCACATCGTCGCGGCAGCGGGCATAGTTTTAGTGACGCTCTGGGAAGATGACAAAATCAATCCCGGTATGGTGGAGGCTATAGAAGTGAAGACCAACCCCCAACCCCCGCTTGAGGGGAGAGCCGAGGGTGATATATCACAGGTGCGTATCCTTCCTTTTTTCTGGCATAAGGGTCGTACTGTCACTATGCAGTGTGCGGTTAGGCTCCATCTGCACTATGATACCCCGGGATTGTTGTCATGAGGAAAATCTTTGCATGGCCTTCTCGCCAGCGTGGATTTATCCTTCCAGAAAAAGGGTTGTATAAAGTGGCCACGAGATTGTTGGCAGTGATATTGTTGGTAAATGCTGCCAGTACCGTAGCCCACCTAGAAGCATTTACGGCAGAATACCCTACCGCGTCAAACATGCTTGGTGCATTTTCTGTATTTGCGATACGGGGTCCGGACGCATGGAGAGTGTTTGGCAAGTTGCTTACTCCTAGTCAGGAAGAGGAGGGAGGTCGTGCTGGAGGCAGTAGCAACGCATGAGAAGCAGAATAAGCACATACTTTAGGGATTGGAATGCGTGGAGCGAGTCAGGACTGATGCTCGTGAGTACTACCGTAGCTGTTTCATTAATGATGTTGTCATCCTTGCCGACTTTGTAATGTTGCATGGGAATTCAAAACGAAACAGATATCGTACTTGCGTTTGCGAGCGTACCGGGTGCGATCATGTCGCTACAGGAGAGTGGTTGCGTGAATTTGAGAGTACAACTTGTCCTTTAGTGGAATAGTATCGTACACAAATTGTGGGGCATGAGTGCACGAGAAATATGGATGGCTTTGTGATTGCCGGTGACCGTGGTTGAACGGAGTGGATGGCTATGAGTGAGAGTGTTTGGAATACTACTGTCTTGTGCATTCATTTGCTTGGGCAATGCATCACTTTGCAAATCGTCGTACCATCCAGCCAGACGAGCCTGTAGGTATTATAGCTGGTCAATCTAATGGTGAACCGCACGTTGAATCTCTCTGGAACGGGAAAGAAGACTGTAAACCACCAGTAAACCTCGCTGATAATCGAGCCCCATCGTAAAGAAGCTGAAGAGTCCCTGCATGACAGTGTACTTGAATAATACATTCGTATGGAAGAGTTCTTAAAGTTAAATTTGCGACAAGATCGAACCATCACTGGACACCCCATTCTAGAGTTATGCCCGAACTGTCTTACAACGAAAATGACATTTCTTACCCTGTGCGATGAATACGAGGAGCACGATCCTCTTCTACGGCGCTCGGAAACCTCATCCACCTTCGGGCGTAATTAGGCCGACACGAGCGGCTTCATGCGTGACAGCTCGGCATCTGGCCGAGGCGAACGCTACGGACGATCGTACGAACCTTGTCAAGAACCAGCTGTACTCTAGAAAAAGCACTGGCTTGTCTGATCCGTTCCCATCGTGAAGATGGAATGGACACCTTGGGTACCTCAGCAGAACCGTTTCCAATGCATTTATATCCATAGGAGGCAGCCTCTTTTTGTAGATTTTGTCTGTATGTAGGGAATATTTGGACGATCGGACATTTCTGGTTCTCAATAATACCAGGCTCATATTGATATCAGTTATAGAGGATGGTTAAGTCGCACCTAACTATGAAGACGGTGGTATCCAATAACTTTGAATTTGAAAGTAGGTGCATAGTGGGCATGGCATCTATTAATAACCACACCCAGATGTGGTCCTGGACTTTCGGACAAAAATGAAAAAGACGCGGCTGCTGAGGGGTTCGGAGATTTCGACATGCTCAATCTTGATGTCCTTCCAAACAATGGATTTATACCATATGAGGCGTCTTACTGGCAAGGGTTTAACGATATTTTTGAGGGAGAACAACGTCTGCACTAGACGAATTGACATATACGGCAAGAGTACCTATTGATTGTTTCCCATTAAAGGGGTGCCAAGCTGACGAAAAGGTTGAACACGACGTGTGCTACGTAGTCTGCTTTTTCATTCTTGGAGAAACCTAGTCTTCACTTACGGTTTCCTGCTTGGCCACCAATGAGCTCTTCAGTAGCTGATACACCTGTGCATACCCGGGAAGAGCGTCTTCGGAATTTGGAGCGTGAACGTGCATTGTTTTCCCAGAATCGGTTGTCGCATCCCGTCTCCACCGCGTCGAATCGACCAAACGGGTCGCAAGCAGCGGTTTCCTTTGCTGATGAAGGACCGTCAGGCAGCCATAATGCTGCTAATGCCACGAGCGCATCTTCCCGACCCCGGATGAATGCCGCTCAAATAAGAGCCCTTCTCGATATTTCTCCAAAGAATTTTGGGCCTAGCAGTCCAACAAGGAATCAGCGTGGTGGATCCAATGAGGAGGTGTGTTATGCCACGAATGAAGGGTTCCGGGGAAGGATTCATGTTGACAGGGAGGGGAAGCACTCGTTTGTTGATGATGTCACCTCTCCAAACCCGTATTCTCTGTCCAAGTCTCAATCCTCAGCCGGCGAGAGTCAGTATACAGTTGGGACGAATGGGAGGGAAGAGAAGCGTACTAGAGCATCTTCCGGTGATGCATGGAGAGAATTGGTGAATAAAGAACAAAGGGCAACGGCCAAGGTATGTAGGTCACCGTTAACCACAACTGTATCTGTCGCTCACAGCCACTATCTAGCATTACGGGTCGGATAAAGCTTTATTGGGTCTGCTAGAAGAAGAACGGTCAAGATATGCGCAACTGGAAGGAGAATACCATAAGGTGAATCTCCCCTTGACTTCCCCATCTGCATCTGCACGAAAGATTAACCTCACCCGTCCCGTCCTTGCCAGTTGCTCAAAGAAGTGCAAGCCTTGCATAGCAGCCATCTCCAAGAGCTTCGCAATACAGAGAGAAGGTATGAAAGCAATCAGCGATCTCTGGAAAAGGAGCTTTCGACAAAGTCAACCGAGTGCTCTACGGTTCGTAAAGAACTGCAAAATTGGCAAGAGAAATATGCACAGGAAGCAGCGAAATGGACTGAATCCAATGAGCGGTTGGAAGCAAATGTACAGAAACTGCAGAAACTCTTAGCGGAGAACCAGCAGCGAGCGGAGGATCAGGAGAAGACGTTACATGAATATACACAAGATAGAAAAGAGCTCTCTGATCGTTTATCCTCGCGAACTCGGGAAGCCCGGAAAATCATGCAACTGTTGCGGGAGAAAGAAACAGAGTGCTTGAAGGAAAAGGAATGCCGTGTGCAATTAGAAGCGCATGTCTCGCAGCTTGATCAAGCGGTTGCCCAGCGTGATGAAGATATCAAATTGCTGAAGTCTGCGTTGCAGAAAAGAAATATGGAGCATGAAGAGTCCGTGAACTTGCGACATGCCTTTGCCGAAGCCCGGAAAGAAATTGATCGGCTACTTCGACGTGAGAAACAATACTTGGACGAAGTGGAAAAAGGGGGCGCACGGGAACGTAAGCTACTGGCTGATTTGGAGGAGCTTTCTTCGCAGCATCGCAAATACGTTCATGAGGTTGAGCGCCTGACCGCACGACAGTCTGTATATCTTCAGGACATTGAGCACTTGAAAGGAATAGAAAGCAATTTGCGGACAGAACTCCAGGCGTTTGTCGAAAAGAACGCCCAGCAGCTGGAAGAAATCTCGCAAATGGATAAACAACTACGTAAACGGCATAACGAGAACATACGCCTGTCGCAAGATCTGGGTGAACTGCGGACGGCAGCGGGAGATTTGCGAACTCAAAATGACTCGAGACTGAAAGAGATTCAACAGTTCCGGCTGGTGGAAGATGCGCTTCGTGCAGAAAAGGAGGAATTGATCTCACAGCGCGCTCTACACCTGCGCGAAATACAATCGAAACAGCAAGAAAATGCGGAATTGTCGTCGCGGTTTGCGGAGCTCACCAGACGACTTGAAACAGAAATCTCTGAAAAGTTGGATCTCAAGCAGCAGAATAAAGAGCGTCTGGTAGTTGTTGCTGATAAAATTAGTGATCTCCAAGCTTCCTTGACTGAGACGCAAGGACAATTACAACAATTCCGGGAGGCGGAAGCAAGTTTGCGGAGGGCGGTACGAGAAAGGGACGATGTCGTTGACAGTCAGGAACGCCGTATCGCGGAGCTTCAGGCTACCGTCACGTCGCTTCAATCACAGCTCAACGCCGAAACAATGAGCTTTGAGTCGCTCAAGACGAAGAAGAAGGAAGAGTTCCTTGCGGTCCAGGAAAAGTTTTCTGTTGCCAAATCGGCGATGGAACAGGAGGTTGGAAACCTGCGGGCAAACCTACAACAAAAGGCCTTGCAGATCGAGAAGCTCAATGAGGAGATTTCCCGATTAAGGATTGACGGGACGGAGGCTTCCGCGGATCGCCTAAGTTTGGAAGCCCGTATATCTGAACTCTCCTCAATTGAAGCGTCATATCAACGACAAATTAAACTCTTGCAAGCGACCATCAATCAAAAAGAGCAAGATAACAATGTTTTGGGGCTAAAATATCAGTCTGTGGGAGAACAGTTACAAAGACTTCAGGAAGAGGTCAACATTTATCGGAACGCAAATAACCAGAAAGATGACGATTTGAATCGGCTTCAAGGTGATCTCTCTAGGAAATTGCGAAACCAGGTGGATCTACTGTTGCAGAGAGACGGGTGTCGAGTTGGGGATGATGTTGGCTCAAATCGCGCGAGTCTTGCGCGGCCTTCGCCCTCTTCCCCCAATGTTATTACGTCGGGCATAAATAGCAACGGCTACCAAAGCAGGTCACGGAGTCGAGCGGGTAGCAATCCTCCAACACTGGACATCAATATCAGTACTACACCACTCAACCTCACTGCCGTATCACCTCGCACCGCCAATAACATCACCGATCCAATAGCCAGACCCGCCAGCCCCAGTCCCAGCAGTTACGTCACAACTACAGGACGGCAGTGGAGTGGCACCCGGCCTGGAGCTCCACGGGCGACGGTACGGGAGCGACCTATCGCTGGGATGGATGAGTTTGGCATGGATCTTTCCACCGACCAACTTGACGATGGAAAAGACTGGGACAGGACGAGTAGGATATCTGGTCAAGACCAGCTCGATGCACCTCGGAGTACCTCGCGGGCTTCCAGTTTTCTCGATCGCATTGGAGAGGTGGTGCAGGGATATTAGTTATGATCTGATACAGATTCATTGATGTATTGCAATTAAAATTTTTGGATAAAACTGTGGTTCGAAATAAGATCATTCATTTGTCATTGCATAGCGGCTTTGTGTGGAATCACACTCTGATTGCAAGGTCTGGTTTTTCCCCTTTATGTTAATGCTGTCAATATCGTCCGATGTTATGCGACCCGCTGCCCATGCATTCTCTCACGCGGAGAATAGCACAAAGCTCACAGGTCGTCGTGTTGTCAAGAGGGTCCCAAACGGAGGAAAGTGGTGCAACAGTAGTTACCTTCAAAACTCACATCTCATCAAACATACACGATATAGTAGATGCGGGCAAGCGGGCAAGCGGGACAAAGTGCTTACGCTGGTGTCCTCCGTCGACAAAGCGCGTCTGGTTGATCAATTACCCGACTCCAAAGTTGTAGTGCGACGAGTGTGAGATGACAAGAGTTTAGAGAATGCGGAATGATGGAAAGGAGGTTGCATTGAGTGTGTGTGTTGCGGTGCAAAACCTTGATGTATTTATTTATGAATGTATGTGAAAGAAAGTTGCCCGTCCAGAGTGCCCTCTTTTGCTCGTAAACTCCCGCTGGACGGGAATCAAAGTTCCTCATCAAGCATCGTAAAAAGAAATCCAGAATGCCACCTGTGGGCATCGTTCTCCTCATTTTGGCTGCTATCATTGTCCTGATTGTTGTGCTTGGCATTGGAAGCATTCACTATGCTCGTCGCCGGTTGAGAGCCATGATGGGCCCAACGTTCCCCGTCTCGAATACGCCTACCCTAAAGGCTGGGGAACAGAAGCAGCCCGGCGTTTTATATGTTGTAAGTGAGATAGAGTTCATGTATCTGGATTGAGGAGAGCTTGAAGGTTTTGTACGGAACATAGCACATGCCGGATCTTCGTCCGTGGGGACATCCGAATGCCAGTCCATTTTCACGTAAGTGAAATATGAAATGTCAAGTTGAGCGCTCTCAATTAAACTCCTGCACCATTTGCAGTCAAGCTGGAGACATGGCTTCTCATGTCTGGAATCCCTTATGTTGTCGTGCGCGGCTTTGATCTCAAGAAAGCGCCCAAAGGCAAAATTCCCTTTATTGAGATCGATGATGTGATAATGGGAGACTCGGAGCTGAGTGGGTATTCCTCCTACGCCCAACATCATAGTAGTGCTCTGCTAAAATAGGCACAAAAGTCATTCAATTCCTTCAGAAACGTTTTCCCAATCATCCCGTGCCAGGCGATCTCGAGCTGTCTGCGGAACAGCGGGGACTCTCTCTCGCCTTCACACGGATGGTGTCTGAGCACACTGTTGCCTGTATGGGATACTCTCGCAATGTCGAAAATGTAGAGTACACTTTCCGCGCATACACGGGCATCCCAGTCGACAGCCCGCTTCCGTTATTTATGCGCCTCATTGCACGACTTGTCAAAAGGTCGACTGGAAAGAGATTGAAGCTTCAGGGCCTCGGAAGACACACCCGGGATGAAATCTATGAAATTGGATGTCGCGATCTCAAGGCGATTGCCGACTTTTTAGGCAACAAGCCATTCATGATGGGAGACAAACCGACTACAGTCGATGCTTCAGTATTTGCGATCCTTGCGTCCATCATGTGGATTCCTGTCGAGTTTCCAATGAAAAGCCATGCGTATCAAGAGCTGCCCGTTTTGGACCAATACCTCCACCGCGTGAGGTATTTACGCTTTCTGGCATATTTCTTGTTGGTTCACTACCGGCCTCATCTGGTTTTCCTGTGTGTATCAGAAAGCAAGTCTGGGGCAACACTGTTGAAACGTGGTATACCGGAGGTGAGGAGGCGGCGAGAATGTATACGCGCCTTGATCAATGATTTGTGGATAGTTGAAACAAGTTTACAATGTATAAAGAGCAAATGTTGTGCAAGAGTCAATGTGCATGAGGTTGCAAAATGATATGCACATCTGTGCGTCCGTTATCCCGCTCGGAACCGACATTATTATCACACATTGCGCCAAGCAAATGCATTCTTGGGCTTTAAACCCAGCAACGACTAATTCACTGTCACGCTTCCTGCTTTGGGCCAAATGGCATGCTCATCATGGCCCTGCCTGATGACCCGCCTCATACCTACCTCCTTTTTGAGTTTTGCCTGCGCAGGGATATACTATTCAATGGCTGCCTAGTTTTTCAATAGCACAACACATTCGTTATTTAACCGTGCGCAATTTGCCAACAGATTGTTCATCATCCCGCCCCGCCCGTCATTTGGCCTTTTACAACGGCGCTTTGCCAATGCATGCCGTCAAATTGGCTAATCTGTGGCTTGGCAGGCGCGCAGTTCATTGGCTGGGCGCAATTGCGGCTTTCTTTCATTTCTGGAAATGGCGTTTTTTTTGGGAGGGGGAGACAAGTGCGCAGTTTCCGAAAAAATAAAAAAATAAAAACGTCACGTTGCTTGGCCCCGCAAGTCATTCAAAGTGGACAAGAAAGGAAACGGGCGAATGAGAGGCGTCCGGCATTTCAATTAGTCCAAATACAGAAGAACGTGGTTGGGCGCGACTTTTTTTTTTACAGGTCACATGGCAGATTCCATGGTAATTGGAATGCATGTATAGGTGAAATGGAACCCATTCCATCAAGATCGAGTGTCGTGCGAGTCGGGGGACGTATCAGATGACGTTGAATAGCGCGCTTATACAATAAAGAATAAACAACTGGCAAGGTTTTGGTGTGTTTTGGGGCAGTGGCCAAAATGAACGTGCGTTGGAAAAGGATTTAAAAAGGACACAGCAGCAAGTCCCCCCTCGCCGCAAAAACGAAAAACCATTTGGGATATCGTTCGTATCGTTGGGTTTTATCGACTAGGAAAATTTCGCTCGGGCCTTTTCTCTTATCGTCTATCGATAATATTAGTTGCTTCAAAAGGTTTCTGTTTTAAAAAGACGACCTGTATACCTCGGACACTTGTCTGGAAAAAATCATGCCTGCCACCACTCGTTCAACGGTTCTTGTCACTGGTTCAGAGGGACAGACAGCGTCTGCGCTCGTCGATTTACTCTCACTGGTATGTCTAGGTCGCTGCTTATCTTATACAAGGGACCGCGTCTTTAACATGAATCATGTCGCTTATAGTCACCCAACCAGTTTGACACAAGAACTGTATCTCTCAGCAAGTCCGATGTATCCTCACTTGAGGACATCTTTTCTACAACGAGAATAGATTCCATCTTTCTCGTGCCTCCACAAACACGAGATGCTATTGCAAGAGTCCGCATCCTCCTCGATGTAGCCCAGCAGCACAACGTCGCATATGTTGTGCTTGTTAGCATGTTGGGCGCGGAAGACCAAACTGGCACTTTTGCTGAACACTTTACGGAAATGGAACATCATCTTCAGTCGTCTCGTCTGCCCCACACGATCCTGAGAACGTCACCTCTTCAGCAAAACTTCCTTCATCTCGCCGACGATTTCCATCAACCCATTCCTACGATCGCCCTTCCCATTTCAAATGGGAGTTTCGCCCCCGTTCACGCCAAGGATGTAGCACGCGCTGCCGTGGCTCTCTTGTCAAATCCCTCACGACACCTGAACCGCACATATACCCTGACTGGCCCTGACCTCCTCACTGGTGTCGAGATTGCTGGCAGAGCGTCCATGGCCATCGATCGACCTGTCAGGTTTAGGAATGGAAGCATTGCTCAAGCACGTGCACAAATGCGACGCATTAGAGAAGAACATGAAACCGGTCGTCTTCAAGAATGGTTCATTCAATCCGTCGTTCAAGTGTATCAGGCAATCGCTGCTGGACACTATCAAATGGTGACAAGTGATGTTCTGGCTCTGACAGGCCGACCGGCGACGCCGATCGACATTTTCTTCCAAGAGAATAAGAGTGTCTTTAACAAATCTGAAGGATCCGTGAACGATCACCATGATACGCGACCCGCCGCGTGCATTATGGATCGTAGTGCAGACTATGTCTCTGTTGCTTACAAGGGTGCTTACGGCACCGGCCTGGGCCGCTATGTTCTTTTGCCATTGCCTGCTAAATTGTAGTAGCTGGTGTGTTTGGGTAATATGAAGTAGGATATGAAAGTGTATATAGACATAACTGGAGCTTTGGGGGCAATATTGAAACGTTCAAGCTGTACAAATTCGAAATATGAATGTGACTTTGCTATTGATGCAATTCTACGGTTCCTGCTTTGGCCGCCATCATCTGAAGGTCGTAATCTCAAGCTGTCCACGCCGCGGTTGCGCAGCCGAATTTGCTCACAGTTTACGTGACAGTATAATCACGTGATTTAATCGGACTCAACAAACCAAGTAACTCTACTTTGCCAAAAGAATGGCATGGCACCCACAATGTCGGAAAGCAAGTCGTTTGACGACCTCCGCGTGCATCGTGTGCTCTTCATAGAGGATCTTCTCACGGTTCCCCGAGTAACTTTACCCCAGCAAATGTCCCCACCAAAAACCGCGTACAAATTCGGCTCCCCGTCATTCTTTTTTCTCCGTGTTCGAGCGGCAGGCATTGTAGTGGATACACCAACCGACGCTATTCACATTGATCCTCAAGATTCGGAGAACAGCATATTTTATATTGGTACCGGTTGCACGTGTGCCGTTCACAGCTGATGGAGAGAAATGGCTCAGTTTTGACAACGATAATCTGCGCTGCATAGATGATGCATCTGGTGTTATTGGCTTCCGGATTCGACCGCAGCTTTTGTACACGTCCCGGGGACAGCGTTTGAAGAAGGGAATCCATGTTGACGTTTTGGGCCAGTTGATGGAGGGACCAAATACTATTGGCGCCGAAAGGTGGATCGATTGCCATGGGTGAGCAGGACTTGTGTGATTGCGTAACACGACATTCTCTGAGATCTATGGCTACTAGTTTTGACGTCAAAGAGGACCCGATTATGGATATTATGCGTCCACTTGTAACCATCAAAATATACCGTCAAGATTATTTTTCGGCGATACCCTCTTTAGGCGGGTCAAAAGTTGAAGATCAAGACAAGGCCCCATCGAATCCATATGCCCCAGCGAAACCCGGCATAGCTCCACCCATAATACCATCAAAGCGACCGATCGAAGATGATGAATCAGGGTTTCAGTTTGCAACTCAATGGGATGTTCTCGAGCCAGCCCCCCGGCCCACACATCCGGGAAGCGCAGCGCCACCGAAGCTGGCGGATATACCAAGAGAGGTTAACGGGGCTCCCGCAAATCCAAAGGTTAATGCGGAAGGGGATGAGGAATTTATGGACGACTTTATGAATTCCTTGTCAGAGGACAAGGACATGGGGGAATTGCTGGGTGCCATGGATGGTCAAATTGGAACAGGTGACTACCAAGCTGATCGACGTGTAAGTATTAATGGCCACGGAAACTAAAAGTTTATTGGATCTATAGATCCACTTCATGCCGACATGGAAGCATTTCTTCGGGATAAGCCGGGGTCCACTGAAAAGGCGCTCATCGAGCAATTTTCGAATTTTACGCCCAAACAGGTGCAACAAGCAATACAAAATGTGAGTTTTTTCTGGTTTTAGTGCCGTATATGGGTGCCAAGAGGTTTTCTTTGCATGATCTCATATTTCCTGTTCACATGGCAGCTCGCGACTGCGGGCATGATCTACTATATGGGTGACGGATACCACCTTATATAAAGGCCCATAACTGCTTGAGCTTAAGCCAAATTATTTATCGATACTCTACCCTAAAAATGCTAGAATAATAGAGTCGATATCACAGTTAGAGGGTTACAACCAAGGAAGCATATACCCTCGACCTGTTCAATGGACAAAGCACATGAGTCAGGTGGTATGGAAGCTCAGAGGGGAATAGCCCGGGCCATTGCCTCATGACGAAATGTGATGCTGTGCTGGATCAAATTTCATAAGGATGCTTCCCGACCGTCGTATTTCAAAGATTACTGGATGTCATGCGACAGAACATTCACATCATATCAGCAATGATTTGATCGTATCGTGCTTTATTTCCCTATTTCAGATCCTAGTTACAATTTTCATAATATGACGTCCTTTAGTGTTGCTATGACGTATCCAAGCTCATTTGCCCTTCCAGTACAATTCCCATTTTAGCGGTCTACAGCCGCTTAAACTCAATCACAGGTGTACCCTCCTCAAATGGAACACCGAGTTCCAACAACTTCTGGTACGCCTTTGCAAAGTCTTCAAAGAACCGCTCCTCATCCTTCGCATAAATCTCCACCCATTTCTTAAACTCCTTATCCTTGGTGAGGGACATGTCCGTAGGCAACATCATGATCGATCCCGTGTTCTTGTCAACGTATTGCTTCGGTCCCTTCCACTTTTTCACGACCCATTTCTCTTCCAAGAGGCGTTTGTAAAAGTCATTGGAGAAAGTGGTAGGGGAGAAAGTCCACGGGCCATCGAAACCCGAGCGAGAGGTGTGGCATCGACCTATGGCGTGGGCACCCAGCAGGGCGACAATTTCTTGATCATTGAAGCCCATCCTGACAGGAGTAGATTAGTTACCCGCCCATTTTTTTGCTAATTACACTACAATTTACCTGTAGAAAATCTCACGGTGATGGTTCGGGTGTTCGGCGTTGGCATCAGGTAGTCGACCATCCGGCGTCGTCTTGTCAGCAGTTTGATCGACACGACCTGGACGCCATTTAATGGTAGGCCCACCCATCTGCCAACAGGTTGATCAGCTTATGCAAAACAAAAATCAGAAGGAAAGCGATATACCTCTTGGATCGCAGCAACACCACCCACACTCCACAAGTCCGAATAGCTCAGAGCATCACCATACTTTTTCTTGATGGGTTCAAGAAGATCCCGAGCAACTTTCAAGCCAGCATTCGCCGACCATTCGGCTTCGATGGGGAATCGCATCGTGGCGCCATACGATCCACCCGTGTTGTCGTGCTTGCTATATGTGCCACTGGCATGCCAGGCTAGACGTACGAGAACGGGCGCGTACGAGCTAGATGCAATGGACCTTGGTTAAAACCTCTGACATCTCCCTGTGCACTTGATATATACGACAACACTAACCCATCATCATAATCTGGGTTAGAGTCGAGGAGCTTGGCAATGTCGTTGTACACTTCTTGGAATTGTGCGGGGGTAAGTTTGGATTTTGTAGGGCTGTGAGGAATCGCTTCGGCTGTGGGGGTGAAAAGTAATACCGTAAGTCACATATCCCGATGAAATACAAAATTTTCAACTTTTATGGGGAGGAAGTTTAGGTCAATGTACTTACTGAGATCGCCCTGAGTAAACCGATAATAATAGTAGCCACCGATACCCGCTGCGCCAGCTACAGCAGCCCAAAGCAAGTTGTTGCTTCCTTTCCCCTTTGGCCCAGCATGTTGTTGTCCTGATGGCTGCTGCTCGCCCGTGGCATACCCACGTCGGAAAGCAGTGGTCGTTGACAATACGGTGACGCGTGGGCGAAGCACCGATGACCGTACTGATCTGAGGGTAAGAGAAGCTACAGTGCGTGCGTTCATCGCTAAATGAGTGAGATATTGACAGGAAGGAAGGGTAAGGCGAGATAGGCGCGAAGCACTCGGGCCCCTTTTATGCTGTGGCTGGTTTGTAATTCGAAGCTCGGTGACACATCCAGCCGCACCGGAGGTACCTCCGTTCTAGCTACAAGTCGCGTTGCCCCCAAATAATATGACCATTTCAAAACCGAATTCTAGCTCCACGAAACGCAAACGATCTATAGCGAAGTCCTGCATTTCACAGTAATATCTACATTTCAGTTGTATGCCGAACTCACAAGTCGGTGATATGTACATGAGTTGGTCTGTGTTGTCGTATCTCTTCTTGTTGGTATCTGAGTTGCTGATGTTGATATCTTCGAACAAATGTCATTGCTTGTGCTGATAATTCATGCGCATTTCGTAACATTCCTGGCCAACAACTTCATTTCGCAAAATCTTTATAGACAAGAATTCTAACATATATTCAAAGATATCAAAATCGCATACTCTCCAAGCCCAACTCACGCCGTTTATCCCCTTTCAGTTCCTTTCTCCACTACTACATTGCCCTCCGCCAGTGTTCTCATGCCTCCATCTTGCTCCGGGGTTAAATAGCTAATATCATCCCAAGGATGCCTGTACAATCCTTGTTTTAACCTCTTCTGATCTAGGTAGTGCCCAATGAATCCAATTGACCGTCCCAAAACAAACAAGCCATTCAGCGTGCCGATCTTGATATACTCTTCGGCTTCCTCTCTGGAAAATGCACCGCATCCTCGCAAAAGATCGACAAATGCAACACCAACAGCACCATCGACATTGAGGATCAGATTATCCTTTTTGCTGGTTGTGATCTTTTCGACTTCCAGCGCGTACCGGAACACATCGGCTGACGGGAAATTTTTGAGAACGTATTCCTTGACAATCTCCACGCGAAGATCAGGGTTGGTACGGGACTTGATCTTGTGCCCAATACCGAGAATGAGCTGGTGAGCTTTGCGCTTTGACGTTACAAAGTCCGACGGGGTTTGGTTAGCATCGTACGCTCCCGAGAAATCTCTTGCGGCTCCATCAAGTGCCCCACCGAAACGGTCCCCAATGGTAAGGAGACCAGCCACAAGGGAGGAAATCAAGTCCTTCCCAGCACGAGCTGAAGGCAACATCGTGACGGTCAGTCATCTCATCTCATATGAATGGATTGCATGTAGCACCTACCGGTCACGATTGTATTATGCGCTCCACTTACAGCTGGGCCATGATCCGCTGTCAACATCAAAACCATCTCGATGAATTTGCACGCGTAGGCAGGCAGCCGTCTCTTGAACCAAAGCAAGCTCAACACGCCACCGATGCCAATATCTTCCTTGAAAACTTCGCTAATGGCCATTCCAGCGTACAGTAATTCTTGCCCTCGGTCATCGCAAATAGTTGAAATGAACGAGGCTGGCTTACGGATGAGACCGAGCTCTTGCGCCCATGAATAGTCGATGGGAATTTTGGGTGCCGGCGGTTCGCGGAGGGGTGCAATTGTCTTGTTAGCGACGAGAGATGTGTACACCTTATGCAAGGTTTCTGGAAGATCTTCGAACGTTTCTGGGACGATCACACCGGAAGAGCGCAGAGTTGAGTTCTTCGCATCCGCCGTTTCGAGGTCAGAGTTGGCAAAACTTCCAGCGTGCCCGAACTGGACGTCAGTTGTGAACATCTTTGCACAAGTTCCAATGCACCACGCTACCACGGGTTTGGTGATACGTCCGTCCTTTACGGCTTGCGCGAGATGGTACTCTTCAACTCCACCAACCTCGCCCAACAGGACCAAAATCTTGGCCGCTGGATCCTTCTCGTATCTAAGCATGTGGTCAATGAATGTTGATCCTGGGTATCTATCACCACCTATAGCAACGCCCTCGTAGACTCCATCAGTGGCCCGGGATATGATGTTGTTCAGCTCATTGGACATTCCGCCACTTTTGGAGACATAAGCAACGGAACCGGCGCGGTAAAGCTTGGAGGACACAATATTATCCATCATTCCTCCGGTGTTTCCAATCTTGAAGCATCCTGGCTTAATGCCACCGACAGTGGCGGGTCCGATTATAAGAATTCCCTTTTCTTGAGCTTCGTGAAGGAGCTGGCGAGCGCGCTTCTCCGGCACTCCTTCGGCAATAATCGCTATCGTCTTCAGTTGAGGGTACAGCATAAGCTCGCGAGTACTCTCATACACACTGACAATCGAGCCTTGGTTAAAAACGCATTTGGAACTTATTGCTTTCGATCTGCGCACATACCTTCTACAGGATGCAAAATTGACCACAACATCTACGTCTGGAAATCTTTCAATGGCTTCGGTGACTGTTGTGTACACCGGCACCAACATTTCCTTGGTGCCCCAGTAGAATTTCTGAACGTGATGGCCGCCGAAGGGGTATATCATACATGCAACAGAGGGTTGCTCACGATTACACATGAAATCGAAATCCAGCATGCCTTGGACCGCACGAGGCTGCATCCCGTAGATGAAAGAACGAGTTCGAGACGTGAAGGGCACGACCGAACGAGGGAGAGCGGGACTTGTTGCCTTAGTGACAGCAGCGTTTTCGTTGGGTGTTGCACCTGCCATCCCACCAACACGGTCCAATGCAACCGGAGGTGGTGTTGGCGTTGAGATATCCAAAAGCCCATTGCCCGTCGATTCCACAGCCGCAGTAGGATTTGGCGATTGGGAATGAATGCCCTTCAAGGCGAGAGGAACGATACCTGTCACGTGCATCTCAGGCCCAAAGACATTGATATCTACCCCCAGATTCTCTCCCAGTGTCCGCATAAGACGAAGTCCTTCTTGATAATTTGGACCGGCACGGCGAACGTAGATCTTCACCTTGTGGTTTTGTAAAGACCGCTGGTATTCCTTCAACGCTCGGATAATGCCCTTGAACGTTGCAGCAACATTGGTGAAGTTCGCGATACCTCCTCCGATGAAAAGGAATTTTCCTTCAGGATGAGGGGCTCCTCGGGTCATCAAGTCCAAAATCGTTTTACTGTATTCGTACGTTTGAGACTCCGATGGAGCGCCAGAGTATTCACCGTAGTTGGCCAGTTCGTGGGCATAACCAAGGGCTGCAATGGCGTCAGAATATACCACTGATGCACCTCCACCAGCAACCATAGTCCATATCCGACCGGAGGGATTTAAAACTGTAAGTTTCAAAGATGCTCCGGTCTTAGCATCCAAGTCAGCGATGTAAGCTTCTTCTTTGGTAAGCTCTCGTCCAAACGGAGCCGGGAACTCAATAGCGGGTCCCCATGATGGGCTGGTTCCAGTCTGTGGATAGGCGTGTTGCCGAGCAATGGCCCATTTCTTTCCACATTCAAATTCAGCAGTTTGATCGAGTTTTGCGGCAAGGTCCAGGTAGAAAACTTGCGGTGCCTTTCCATCTACGGATTCTAAAACCACCAGAGGATTGATTTCCAGATATGTGAATTGAAGGTCAGTGTAAACCGCATAGAGACGAGTGATGAAGTCGACGAGCGTCGCCTTCTGGGAATCAGACTTGACGTCTGAAAGAATTGTATTCAGTACGTCGTTGAACACGAGTGGTGTAACTCAGCATACCATGCAAGAGTGCCTTTGAAAGCTTTTCCGCAGTTGGGAATGGTTTGTTGACTTCAACCAAGATCTTCCGTGCCTTCGCATCGACATCACCGACGTCAACGCCTCCCTCATGCGTAAAAAGAATCCAATCTCCTTCACGAACAGAATTGATGGCAACGTAGTATTCGGACTCTGGAGGGTGGATGCAAAGAGGTTCCACTAAGAAGGTGTGCAGAAGGCCACCAGTTTTCTCGAGCTATAATGGCAAAAATGAATTAAGGCTCTCGCTTAGGCTCCAATAAGACGAAGAGACGAATACCTTGAAAATCTTGCCCGCTCTTGTCCTTATCCACTCTTTAACCCCATTCCAATCCAGCCCAATACCCAACAGGCCATTCTTTCCTCGCCGCTTTATCAATTGATCTGGCTTGCAAACCAATTTGTCCTCCTTTACCCAAGGATTTTCTTTCTCTGCCCTGTCGAAAGTTTCTTCGACGTGTTTTTTGAATACAGTTTCATTTTCTACGAGGGAAACATCAAACGAAATATGGACCATGCGGTTTGGTGCAAGGAAAGCGGGAGAAGAGTCTTTTATGTTCGGATAGGAGCCATTTTCTGCGGGCGAAGTTGGCTGTGAAGATTCAGCGTCTGGGTGAGTCAGTCGTGGGAGCCAGTAGGCGAGAAGGTGCTTTCCGTCGTATTCACGAATGGGCTTGGCAGACATTGTTGCTGACGCAGCCGGGAGGTACTATATCCTATGATAGCGTTAGTAAAGCTACGATCAACCAAGTGTCGAGCCGGCAGCATACCTACTGTGTTATGCTAGAGGTGAACAAACTAGGAAAACGGGTGTCGGAAAGAAACCACTAGGAAGGGAAAGCCGATGAGCTGCGCACTGATATAAACAACCACGCGATTCGGCCAAATGACTCATTCATATAGATCTGCAGGAGATTTGGACAAAAATGGACGTGGGCTCATCGCTTTACCAAGCGGCGACTTACAATGAAAAAAGGTATCGTATGTCAACTTGGAATTCTAAAAGTGCGTTGACAGCAAGTGCGTTAACAGTACTTGTACAAAAGACGGAATTGGGACTGTGGCGGGCTATCTGGCTCTTGCGGTTCTTTTTAAATACTCTGCGTACCCCGGATGAATCTGATTATTTCGTGTTGCCGAATGGTCGGATAATCGGACCATAGCAGATGGAAGGCTGATAGGCGCAGAATCCATATTCAAATTCAGTCTTGTAAATAAACACCAAGGCTGCTCTCCCCCCGCATCAGATCATCGATAACTTGTGCCTAACCTCAGCACTCCCGTTTACGCGGTCTCCAAAACGCGTGAACTCCCGTAATGATTGGCACCCCTCCACATATGGCTCGGGAAAAAAGTAGCCGCCGTTTTCTGGCTTGCTTTCACTTGACAGCTACTGTACACACACACAACACACACACAGACAGAGGGAGCATGGCAGGATGGCAGGATGCTGGACAGCTGACATATTCCAGCCAGACGACCAGGGCAAGACGACCGGGAAGATTATTGTTGCCCATTCCGACTGGATTAGCTTTGACGGGCTCTTATGAATCTTATGAGTGATTTACCGCATTCTAACACAAAAATGCGGCATAATTGACACGAGCCCATTCAGGGTATTTGAGAAAATGCTTTATATGTGTTCCTTCTAGTTTCCATTTCGACAGGCACCACGCCAACTAGAAATAACTAACTACATGTCGAAATGCCACGAGGATCAGAGGCGTTCCATGAGAACACTAGAGAGGTCTAACCACGTAAAGGCTACCAAAGAATGATTGGCGTTAACTGGATAGACTAGTCAGTCTCCAATTCACCATCCTGGCAAACTACTGAGCTAACATTCAGACCCTTGCCAATAAAATACCAAAGTGCCCCCCTCTACGATAATAGCTACAACAAGCACAATTGCAATCAATCTGTTGGCTCAAAATATCCAGCAAGCGGGAACCGTTCCCGACATTTTAGTTCAAAATCATCCGCCTTTTTCAAGTCCGAAAATGTGGTCACTAAAGACATGTGGACCTTTACTGCAGTCTGCATCCAGTGGACATCAGTCAGCTTTAGCATCTTGTTGACACACGGACTCTTAGCCTACCTCAAGCGTCAGATCTCTGGTTTCTCCCGTTACTATCTCTTCCAAAATTTCCACCCCGTCACCCCCGCACAACCGATCCATTTCTGCGGCAGCCAAAAGGCTTTCCACATTCCCCTTGCAATTCTTGAGATACTTTGCATTAAATTCTTTGGCGTCTTTCACTCCGTTGAAAAGTTGTCCCATCTCCTCCTCCAGCACTGTCCGCACATGAGGATGAATGCTGTCTATGGGCTCGCTTTTTACGGCGAGATAAAATCGCACCGCGTTGCGATGCAAGTCCGGGTGGTTTGGAGCAATCGCGGTGCCCTTCTTGAGCGCACGCAGAGCCAGAAGGTACTTCTCTGGAAACAAGGGAAATAATTTGAGGCATTGCTTCCAGTCCAATCGGAATCAGAGACCTACTTTTTCTGAGGAACACTTCACACCCAAGAACCTGACTCTCTATTCTCTCGGATCCCAGGTCCAACAAGGGTCTCAAAAACCTCATAGCCTCTTCAAGGTAATCGTCAGCAGCAAGATACTTTTCTCCGTTCACATCAGCCTTGTCCTTATTACTGCCAGCATCCGCCGCTTTATCATTTTGAGTTTTGAGGGCCAACTTCCGTGCTTTCCGCTCAGCTTTCTTACGTTCAGAATCAGACACATTGGCTGGTAGCACGAACGTGTATGCGTAAGATTATAGCGGCCACGCGACTGCAACATTTATAACGAACCATTGGATGCATCCTCACGCCCACTGTGTTCCTTTGGCTTGTCATGCAATTCCAAGTACACTTGCACAGCGAGGGTTGCCGCCTCAAAGTAGAAAGGGTGTGATCTTAACTTGTCTTCGACTCGGAGTAGTTCTACATACGAGCGTAATGTCATTTTACGTAGACAATATGAATGGAAATCGAATTGATCGTCGTAGATGTCAACGAAATGCTACTGGTTTGTTACTATCTAAGCCTCCGGACGCTTCATTAATCCTCAAATGTTCCTCACCTGTTCAATCTGATGTAACTTCTTGAGGGCTCGTCCATATTGCTCCTGCCGCACATAGCTTTTCGCGCATTCTGTGGCGAACCACATACATTGCATGTCAACTAGGTCTGCTAGAGGGTCCAGTGATTCACTCTACGTAACATAGTCGTAAACTCAATGTAATAGTAGTCGGTATATATCAGCAAGTTGATGCTCACCCTTGTAAATAGAGCAATCGTTTGTTCGGCTTCCCCCAATCTATCGTTTCGCAACATATATTTAGTGCATTTAGAATTGATGTAACGATCCTGAAGGTCCATTTCCCGGGCTTCGTTCATTATTGTTACAGCTGTCTCTTCGTCGCCCGCGTGCTGGATGCAGCTCTCAGTTTCTGATAAAAAACCAAGGATATGCTACAATGCCGAGACTTACCTTGTATATCCGTGCCTTCGTCATCAGGAGCTCAACAAGAGTCGGTGTATGTACTAGAGCTTCGTTAATCAATTGAAGAGCCGTGGTCGTATTCCGTTTATGGTCATAATGTTGGGCCAGGAAGTACAGCACCCATAGATATGCAGTAGGTGGCTCCCGTTCCGTGAGTGCGTCGTCTTCGCCAAATCGTTGCGCCTCCTTCAAGCTTTTTCGATATCCCAAAACCAGGTCCTCCACAATCTGCCCTTTTCCGTCATCCTTGTACAGATCCTTTATGCTAACGAACAGAGATGGTACACCTTTCCGGAACATCGGTCTGAGATACTCATCGGCCAATTCCCGAAATTTGTCGGCTGACGAGAGACATCGTAAGGTCGGCTTCGCATGTATCGATCGTCGAATTCTAGTTCACGTACCCTTTGCGTATTTCAGTGGCGCACGCTTGATGACATGCGATCGAGGATATTTATTGCCCAGTTCATTCAACAACCGGAAAAGCTTCTCCATCTGGGTCACGTCCAAGTCTGCAGAGCCTTTATGATAAAATTACCAACTCCGCTCCGTTCCGCTTAGCAATCGCGACGACGATGGCCCATACCTCCAATTAGCGAACGTGCTCGCAAGAGGCCTTCCAAATACGCATGGCAGTCCGGATTTTGATCCAAGAGTTGACGGTATTCGACTTCGGCCTCCGTGAGTTTGTTAGCTTTTAGCAGCACCCGGGCTATGTGTTCCTTTTAGCATTGACCGTTCTCTACACTGTTAGTAGTTTGCTCAGGCGATACCTTTAGACTCTCTCCATGACCGTTTGTCCACCACCCTGGTCCGTATGTCCTCCAAGTGCTCTAGAGCCTTCAAGTTGTCCCCGCTTTCCTCAATTATCATATTCTTGTACATGAGCATTTCACTATTCTCGAAATCAGCAACATCCGGTTGTTCCTTCACGACAGGAATTCCATGAGATGATCTCCTGAAAAGAAGCCAACTTGTCTTCTGTGCCCACCTTCAGACTCTCCTCGAACGCGGATAAGACATTCAACGCTGTATCATATTTTTGAAGCATGTGATATGAGATAGCCAGTCCAACCCAATACATGCGGTTTGTCGGCCGCAGAGAAAGGAGTTGATGTCTAGTCTCCTTTGGAAAATCGTCAGTATGCCGATGAGATTACCGCCTCATCACATAACTGACGCACATTGAAGCCCTCATAATTTCGCATTTGGATCTGAAGTAACGACAGATCTCTGATGATCTGCATATTTTCCTAGATAACAAGAGCCAGTGAGTTATGGGCGCCCCTTCAAACATGTCAGCAATTAATTGAGGAACCTTGTCGAACTTCAAAGCATTGACGTAGCATTTGATAGCTTCTTCATAATTCTTATCCGCTCGATGCATTAAACCATATACATGCCAACCTGGCTTAGGAATATGAGGATTTGTGCGGTGGAATATGTAGCCTCCACCTCGTACATGTATGACTCGTGAGGTCGTTCCTCAAGCCTTTCTTGACAAATTCATATCCTTCCTCTTTCCGATCCAAATGGCTTAGAAAGAGCCCCTTCATAGCTAGAGTTTCTGTGCACACCAGAAGCTGTGAATCATTCATTCATTCCAGACATTCGACACGTTTAGGAGGTCACCACGTACCACCATGTTCCGGAAACTTTCTCAGAATCTGCTCCGCCTGCTTCAACCCCTTCTTATATTGTTTATGCTCGTAGAATTTCTGCAAGAAGTCACTGATCAGCGAGATGGCAACTGAACATGTCCGCAGGAGATTGTACCAGAATTGACTTGAACATGGCACTCTCCTTGGAAGGGAGCTCCCGTCCCTGTTTCGCGGGTGGCATATTTGTGAGAGTTTCTTGTCTATATGCGTATCTAGTAGAAACTCCTTTGACCAATGCCAGAGATCACTCGCTGATGAACTGGTCGGAAACCCCCACGTCCCAGCTTGAACAAAAATGACTCACCACCAGCCTGGGTGATTAGGTGAGCATCTCGTTCAGACATCACGTGAATGATCGGACTCTACATTACCTCCAGCGATGATTTCACCGGATAGTCACCCAAGCATGAACCGGGTTTGATAGGTGTTCTACCACCACCGGGGATGTCGCAAACTAACATACGATGACACCACTTGACACACAATGAAAGAACTAACCAAACTCTCCATTCAGCAGCCCACAGACCAATCATACTCTGTCATGGCCAGTTGATTCAGTGTTACAAAGCAGGCTATCATATAAAGTTGAGCAGTATTAAGATCTTATCCCAGAATTCCAGAGAGTAACAGAATCCATTCCTATATATCCTACCCTTACATTAATTGTGATGGGTTGCCTTCTGCACAATAGGTTCTAAGGCCTCATACCTCTGACCAGTTTATCTGGCTTCAAATATCTTTCCAGGTGGCTATTATCAACTGACCATTCTACCAGACTTTCTACCATTTGGTCTTCCCCTTACCCCACCAACAAAACATCTACAAATCAGGCACTAGATGTCCAACATGGATCTTTATGCTAAAAATTATGATGGACAATATCAGCTGCAACAACTACCATTTCTGCAGGTTTAAGATGATGATGTTGCTGGAGGAGAAGGGACTCTGGTATTGAGTGTCTTTAAGACTGGTTCTTAATATAGGAATTAGTTCCAAAAGGCCTATGATACCAAGGGAGTTGTGCACATCTTATAGTACTCTATATTACTGTATATACCAAATGCTTTACATGGTCTTATTCTGGCTCAATTGCATGATGAGTTGCCCCATGGTGGACATTCTGGAGCTCCACATAAAGTGGTCTACTATCTCAGTTTTACTGGCCTAGGATCAAGTCAGATGTTTTTAGCTTGTGGAAATTGTTAGCAGATGAAGTTACATGCACATGCAGTTGGACTTTTGCAATCTCTCCCTGTGCCATCAGCACATTGGCATACTGTGGGTGAGCCAGTATCTCATGGGCAGCAGCACAGTTACAGCAAAGCAGGCAGCATACCTCTATATCTCCCAAGTGTAGAAGCATACAGGCTGCACTTCAGTTATTGTGTCTGACCACTTACATTATAATTTACCCCTTTAATTCATTCCCTCATGTGTCTGTGATCATTCTGATCACTCAAGTCCATTTTCCCATCTTGTAACTTAGGCAAATCAGATGTGAACTATCTAATGACATTCCAGCATGTCACATAATTGCAAATTATATATGGTCATTTATGCTTGTATGTCAACAGCAACAAGGTGCTCCTGAATCACAGTGGTATTCAGATGCCTACTGGCAAAGGAGAGCCAGAGAAGCTGGTGCAGAAGTGGATCAGCCCCTGTAACAGGCTAGCAGGGACAAGAAGACAACAGAAAACTAGGGAAGACTTGGTTACTACTTGTTATTCTTCTTTGAGGGGCCTCAGAGAGGTCCTCTTTTTATAGACAAAGGGGCTGACAAATGCTATATCCTAACTACCCAATCAGATCTCACCCACATCATCCTAAACTATTTGTCAGCCTATTGCACCATTTGCAACCAATCAGAACTCATACATGTCATCCTAAACTATTTGTCAGCCTATTGCACCATTTATAGCCAATCACAAGTGAGACAAGTCATCCTAAATACACTGTGCCACTTGATTGAAAGGGGCAGATGCCAGTGTGTCAGGATACTCATCTAATTTAGCCAGAAATGGCTAAATCTGCTTATTTATCTAATTCTGGTCAAATGAATGTTGACACCATCAGCAAAGTCATGTGACCACTAGTTTGGAACCACATCTAACCAGTATAACCCTAGCACTGACAGAAGAATTCTGTCACACTCCCACAATGTAAGATTAAGCTCACCACTGCTAGCACCCGTGCATGTTCTCAGCTGTGGTGGAGCAACAGTCTGC